AATTTTTAAACTTTTTTGGGGGGTGTCAAAGGGGGGTGCGGTCGCACCCATCGCAATGCGCAACGTGAGCAATTACTTTAAAGAAATCAATGAGGAAATAAGGTGCTTAACCTGCATACACACCTCTCTTGGTTTGTAAGCAGAAAACTATTGCCAAGAGTAGAGATATATTACCCCCATGACCTAAACAGAAGTAACGATAGCAACCATAACTTTTGTGCATTCTCTCACCAATATGTACCTACACTACATATTCTCAACTATATGTATCTTTTGAAGTACATTCTCTTACCAGTGTATATCTTAAGCATATACTCTCACCAGTGAATGTCCTCCTCAGACCATACTGTCTCCAGTAGATACCCTCTCCAGTATATACTCTAACTAGTGTGTAACATCATGGGTATACTCTCACACCAGTGTGTATCATCAGTGATACTCTAACTATTGTGATTATCCTCCTCTATATACTCTCACATGGACGTATCATCATCAGTGTATACTCTCACCAGTAGGTATCCCGATCAGTGTTTACTCTCACCAGTATGTATCCCGATCAGTGTTTACTCTCACCAGTGCTTATTCCCCACAGTATATACTCTCTCAACTAGTGTATTTCACAATGATAACACTCTCACACCAGTGTGTATTTGTATCATCAGTGTATAGTCTCACATGTATGTATCCTCGTGACCCTCGTGAGAATATTCTCACAACAGTGTGTATCATCACCAGTGTATACTTGAGTATATACTCACACTTGTGTTTATCCTCCTATTCAGTGTATACTCCCACTAGTGTGAATTGTCATGAGAATACTCTCACACCAGTGTTTATCATCAGTGTATAGTATGTATCCTCGTGAGAATATTCTCACAACAGCGTGTATCATCACCAGTGTATATCCTATGTTTCAGATTATAACTAACTAATTGCATGTATGAATCCTAATCAGAATATTCTTACACCAGTGTGAAACCTCGTCAGTGTATATGTGCTGCATAAAAGTTGTAAACAAAATAACATTGTAGAAAACTAATATTTCGGAAAATAATTTTTTATGACAAATCCTTCAAAAATATTATTTTCTGTCTCGTAATATTTTTTAGTCATCACTTGTATTTATTCAAGGGATCTTCATGAAAAATATTTTTCTCACAGATTATACGAAAATAATATTTTTACTTACAAATTTCACAAAATAATACATTCTTACTTATACATTGTACGATTCTTACAAATAGTACGCAACATATACTCACGCTGGTGTTTATCCTCTTAAGTAATTACTCTCACCAGTATGTATCCTCCTCGGTTGATACTCTCACCAGTATGTATTTTCTTCAGAACATACTCAAATCAGGTGAATCGCGCTGGATCACATCATACTCACACCGTTGTGATTTTAAGCTGGTATTATATACTCATCAATGTGTACTAACACCAGGTTTATCCTCCTATGTATATACCTTTCACCAGTGTTATCCTTTCCAGTATATACTCTCGATAACCAGTATATATTTTCATCAGAATATACAAAGACCAGATTAAATTCGCATCACCTTATACTCACAACTGACAATACATTACAAAACGTACAGCTTACGCATTCCATATCAATGGTTGGTTTTGATTTAATAAATGTTTGAGATTGAATAAATGACGGTAATTTTTAAGGAAAAATTGATTTGTTGATTGTAAGTTACACCCAAGGTAAAATCTACAAACTTTTTACTTCATTTAAAAAAATAAAAGCATTATTTAAATAAAGAATGCAGCAGGGGGCAAAGTACTATGAACTAAAGCTGTCCCTGTAATGTATATGACATTGAGAGACCATGGGTTCCCATAGTAACATTAGAGTATATATACATTGAATGATACATTGAGACTTATAAATCAAGTTCACCGAGGTCATAAGTCATGTTTTTTGTTGAAACTCACTCTTGTAAATCTTTACATTAGAATCCAAAGTGTCATCATAACATATGCTAAGTTAGTTGTAAGTGAATAACAGTGAAGAAAGTGATTTTGTTACATGAAACTGGGTTAGTATTCTAAGGATTACTCGGAGAAGATGGGGACATGTATCAAACAGTCTACAAAGCCAAACGAAGATGTTAATGCTAATATTACGGTAAGACGATTCATTGGTTTAATGAAATTTCGGGATCATTCCATGAATCGAGGGAGGGTGCTAACTGCCACATCGCCTATGGAACATATACAGGGAAGATGATACCAGGTGTGATATATATATACCATTTAAAAGAATATTGTAAAGTGAACTGAATTTCAAAAACTCGAGATATCAGCTAGGGTTATGCCGTCTCTTTCAGTTCCCGTGGAAAGGATGTACAGTAAAACCTATCTAATCCGAAATCCAAAATCTGATTCAAGTATTTAGTCATGCTTGAAAGACCATTAATAATCATTACGATTGAGACTATTTGATGTTTTTATCAAAAGTTTTAATAGCATAGCAAATTAGAATTAAATCGACGATATTTGAGCAATTTCTGTAAGAAATATATATTTTGTGGAAAGTGTTAATGTTTCAAATATGAGTGTTCACTGTTCAAATTAGGTGAGTCAATGGGAGGAAGAAATGGGACCGGGAAAAGGTTTTCGGATTAGCCAGGTGTTCGATATACAGGTTTTACTATTACTTCTATATACTAGTTCATCAACCATTGTTCCTCAAAATGGCGTAATTCGTGAAAAAGGTTTCCACGTACCATTATTTAAAGAAAAACAATTGCAAATTGTTAATATGGGCAATTGCACATTGGATCATACTATTTCCAATTTGTAAAAATTGTATGTTATCCACAGCAGGAGAATGAAAAGAAGATTTCATTCTGACTTTTCATTATTACAATGACATCCTCAATAGAAAACCATGAAACATACAACATAGCACAAAATGTAAGTAAAATGAAACACCCTGTAGTTATTTCAAAGCATAATCGTCGCCCAAATTGAACATTCTACATCATGCTGTATCCGTCCATAAAGATCAAATTAACATCATTTAGTATCCTACATAGCACGAAAACGCTGCTTTTAAAATAGAACAGACAGCAATTTAGTTCGATCTTATAGCGAAAGAACCAGCAATGGGCGAGCCAGCATTGTACATAAAGTGATCCCAAAGCGCATCTTGTAAATAGTAAACACACCTTGTTGCCTTCTTCGTCTAAAGACTAGGGTGTTGTGGGTTATTAATGAATCGCCCGAGATAACCCTTCCTGAGAATAACCATATCAAAGAAGCTCATAATGTTTTTGATAAAAACAACACGCCGGTCATATCTAAAGGTGTCTAACAGGAGTGTAGTACAATAGAGCTGAACAATGTAAACATTGACGATATATACGAATTTCCCATCTCTGAATATATTTCCCAAGTACTCGGCTCCGTATCTAGTGAAACGGGAGGGGAGGGGTGGAGTGTGTGTGTTTGTGTGTGTTGGGGGGGGGGGGGTAGATAGGGAGTGTCAAAAGGAGCTTAGGTAGGGATGGGGTATTTATAACAAGGGTAGGCCTACATTACAGTACAACGTTGTGAATGTGTTTACAAACGGAATATAAGATTAGTTATCTAAAATATATTTCATTGATGTTACCACGTAATGTGGATTTATGGATTTTGTACATTTCATTTTTTAAGAAACATTAACTATCCACCATCTTGTTATTTATTCATTTCAAATTCGGTCAAATAAGGGAATAATAAAAGGTCGATGTGATAACGACCAGGTGATGTCAACGATGTTGACGAATGTCAACCCGGGGGATGTCATGAATTATAAAATTAGTCCAGCTTTACGAATCACGATGTACGATGTACGTATTCGGCTTAGAAATAAATTCAGTCAATGTGATTCGGCAATGAAAGCCAATGAGGCTATCATCAGTCATGTCATCCCATTTTTTGCAACACGGGGTTCCTGACGAAGTTAGTGACATGGCCTAAACGAAACTAAATGTCATTAATAAAGTTGGGCCGGCGAACATGATCTGAATACGTCAAACGGTACAGTTCAAACACATAGCAACAGTTTGAACCACAAGCTTTGAAATAAAATTACAACTTTAATATAAACTAAACAACAGAAATAAACGGACAACCCATGGACCTCAATGCAAGTAGTATTCACGGACTAGATTGTCTCAAATATTGAATCATGGTAGAGAAAATTCATTTCTTTAGATATAAGCCCAAAATAAAAAATCGTTAACATTGTCAAAAATACAAGTATTTACTGACTTCAGCTTGAGCTTCTACTGTTGTTTTTTGCATCAAAGCCATGATTATTATTTCTTATTAATTTTAAAATATACACAAGTACATACAAATATACGTACGTACTCAAGCCGTATTAATGTTTTAACAAATTAGAAAAGCGTCTCTGATATTATATAACATGTTTCACAGGCAATGAATTACAACGATGGGGAACAAATGAAATCGAAAATTTAACATTATCATATTCTCTAAATTATCAAGCTTTCAAACATTCTACAATTTTTCTAGCGCCACCTTTAGATTGTCTTTACTATGATTTATATTCCCATATATTCTATGAATAGTGAACTATGAGTGATGTTTTACGTTTATTGTTTCGTCTGTTCTCAAATGGTCAGAGTTGTTTACAGTTTCAACAAACTGAGGTAGTGGGTCAATTTTTACTTATGAGGTCGACCAATAGTGGTTATTGTCTAGGTTAAACACCTCGATAACAGTTTCTTACCTCAATCCGTTCCATGGATTATCAACCTCTCCAAAGCATCCATATTATTCAACCGCTCAAACGACGAGTTATCCTTATGGACAATCTCAAATATATTGAAATGGTCATGTCGAACTGTGTATATTCACGTGATTCTCTGATTCCAGATAATGCAACTTGTCACAAAAAGTGACAATTGTATCAGTAACCTAAACTATCCGTTCATCTGATTCTATTGACCGTTTTTCATGTTGTATGCTTTCAGGAACCTCTTCAGTTTGACCGGGTGATGGACCCACAGTTGGCTAAGAATGAATTCCCAACATTCAAGGACGACAACAGGTCCCTCATGCGCAAACATCTCACCAAGGCTTTGTGGGACAAACTCAAAGACCACAAGACCAAGACTGCTGGATGGACCCTTGCTCAGGCCATCAACACCGGAGTTGTGAACTCCGATTCACTCGTCGGCTGTCATGCCGGAGATTCAGAATCATACACTGACTTCAAGGAGCTGTTTGACCCCGTCATTGAAGAGTACCACGGCGGGTATGGACCCGAGAGAAAGCACGTAACCGATTTGGACCCAGCTAAACTGAAGGGAGATATCGAAAAGAAGAGCAATATCAAAAGTACAAGAATTCGATGTGCTCGTAACCTGTTTGGTTTTCCTCTGAACCCAGGGAGCACCAAAGAACAGAGACTCCAGATCGAGGAACTCATGAAGAAAGTCTGCGCGGGTCTCACTGGGGACTTGGCCGGTACTTACTACTCAATTGCTAGTATGACAGAAGAGCAACACAAGCAGCTCGTCGCTGACCATTTCCTTTTCCGTCCCGGAGATCGTTTCCAAGCTGCATCCGCTTATCATAACTACTGGCCCGCTGGTCGAGGCATCTTCCATAACAAGGAAAAAACCTTCTTGTTGTGGTTCAACGAGGGTGACCACATCAGAATTATCAGTATGCAGCAGGGAGGCGACGTCAAGGCTGTCTTCGATCGCTTATGCAGGGGTGTGAAAGCTATCGAGGCCGGTATCTTGAAAAACACAGGGAACAAGCAAGCTTTCCTCTGTGACGACCACTTGGGAATGTTAACATGTTGCCCTAGTAACCTCGGCACTGGCCTCAGGGGCGGCGTCCATATCATCCTCCCAACCTTGTTTAAGACCAAAGGACTTAAGGAACTCGATACCTTGGTGCGTAGCCTAGGATGTCAAGTTAGAGGAACCCATGGAGAGCATACTGAGATCGTTGATACGTGTGATATATCGAACTTCCACCGTATAGGACGTGCCGAGTATGAGCTGGTACAAAATATGATTGACACAGTCAATCTATTGAATAAAATGGAAGATGAAGAGGCAGCTAAACTTAAGGTATGTAAACTGTGATGTCCAATACACAATCAGGTGATGGCCATATATGGTAAAGAGAAGTGCATTTGATTATGAAATGCGCATATGATGATGGGATATGGAACGACTACTACAAGGGGTGGGTATAATCAGCTTATGCCCATACGACTGCATGGTGAATGTAAAGGGGCGTGCATGAAGAGCCAACTAATCCTGCATGTTGTTTTGGGGGATGTGAACAGTACGACCAACGAATGTTCATGTCGGACTAAGAGAACGTGGCTTATCACATTTCATCCACCATCCAGAACTACAGACGCATACTATTAGACCAATATCGATGCAATGAAGTCTGATTTATGGTTCAATTATTGTCGATGTTGTAGCATTGAGTAAATTGCTTTTGGTTCAGCATGCTGCAACTTATGGACTTTAGCACTTCGCTTTATTTTACTGATGATTTTTAATCTAAGTTGAGTGGCTAGTGACTGGCAGTGTTCTTCATAACTTCATTTAGTGAAATAACAATTATACCAATGAATAATATTAGATGACCAATTTCAACAATGTTCCTCGGGCTAACATAAAATTTCCATTACATACTAAAGTAATCGAGGTATCCATAGACTGATGCATTTGATCAAACGTCCATCTTCAAGAATCAATTAAGGGGTATTGAACTAGAATGAGTTATGCATATGGCGTGGTGTACGGCACAGTGGCAATAACTGAAGTTGAAATGTCCAAGTTGGCAATCCATTTAGGAGGTTAAGCTACACGTTTTAAGAGAACTTGTACGTTAAACGTGTAATATTATGACTTTCAAGAATGACCACCCCTTCTAAATTTGTTTTTTCCATGGACCTAATAACAACTATTATTATATACCCAATATGTAACACTAATCCTGATTGGTCAATACCTAGTCACGTGTTCCGAAATAGATTTACTATTTCCCTCGGAAAGTTATATTCCCTCAAATGTGACGTCAGCGGGAATATACATTTGAACTATTGCCCGCTGACGTCACAATTGCAAGCTCTATTACCCTTGGAAACGTCTGCTCATCATCACTGCGCAGACGAAAAACAGAAAAATGGAGGATGAGCACAAACACAAATCAACTCCGTTCACCATGACAGACGTGCGTGAACGATACAATATAAGCAACGTGTATAAAGTTCCCTAAGCTCAATACGTCTGTGTTATTTCAAGTGCTATGATAATCTATTCCGCGTGTTAAACGCGATTGAATTTGCCAAGTGAGAGTCTCAGAGGCAAAAATTTCTGTTGAGCATCTGATGACGTCACAGCTTATAATGCTAACAATGGACCCGGGGAGGGGGCTTTCTAAGCCTTTTTGGCCTTCGCAGAGGAAACGGGACAAGAGTCAGTATAGGGTATATAATAAAACAAATAGTGACTGCCTAATTTCGAGCAATAGTGTAAATGATTTCCCCTTGGGAATATCCTCTACAATATACTATTCCCTCAGCCTGCGGCTTCGGGAATAGTACATTGTAGAGGATATTCCCTCGGGGAAATAATTTACACTATTGCCCTCAATGGCAGTCACTATTTGTATATTATCATATACCTTCATACTCAGTCCGGCAAGTAAATACTACGAAGGGGAGACTCTGGTCTTCTATAGATGAACATAATTCTATACGTCCACCTACAAATTTCTTTAAAACGTGAACCTTAATCTCCATAATAGTAAGACATGAAATGAGACCATCAAATAATTTGTCGAACGCTTATCGACAATTCTATCATTATAAATGTTGTTTTGGAAGTTTCTAAGGGAACTTAATAAAGAAATTGCAACCTCCAAGCATGGTAAATAGGTTCGTCGTCAATAATTCTTCCTAGGTTATTCAGGACAAATGATGCAGTTGGAGACTAATAGCAATTTATTGATAAAACCAATGAGATGGAAATGATTCCATGTACGATAAGAATACATCTACGGGGACCTGTCATCCTGTAGTCATCTGTCTATTATCCCCAGTTTGACGTGAATACGTTGGTTGAATATGAATCAAATGAGTTGATTGGAACGTTATTGACTTTATTACTAGCTGTACGAATTGTTTTTAAAAAAAAATATTTTGTAATGTTTTTTAAACTTTTAACCATTGATTGATTTATTGGTTAATTTGGAGTTTACGTCTTTGATATCAGAGAATAAAAATGATGTTTGGATCCAATTGTTTATGAAATCAGAGCCAATATTATTTCAGACGTGGGTAAAACACGTATGTTTACAACCTAAATAAAATAAGGAAATGGTTAACAGCAGCTATGACCTTATAATTACCCCATCCGCTCATCCACGTTCATTTCGTGCAAATGTTCCGAAATTATATGTGATACTCCACATCACTGTGATGTTTAAATGAAAATATACTTTCCTTTATCTTGACATAAATTACTAAGTCATAACGTTACTGAATTGTACCAGAAACTAAAATCCTATTTTTAACCGTGTACGACTGAATCTGCACGGGAATATAGAAAAAATGTTAGAATATCTTGAATCCATCAAGGTTTTCAAACAATTCAAATGAATAGTCAATCAGAACACTGATAAGGTATTGTGAGAGAGTACAGACTTCAATCAATTCCTTCCTTTCTAGAATACTGTTAGTTTGAAATTAGAAAGATGCGAGACGTATCAAAATGGTGGTAAGGTCAATACAGTGAACTAGCTATCAGGCTATGGATGGCAGATGGAGGTCGCATTTGCTTGTTACCTAACCCTGTCATTGTAGTCTTCCATTTTTGTTCAATTTCTATTTTTATACATGTAGAATATGTATCTCTTAGTAAATGGCAATAACGATATATCCACATGCACAGCAGAAACATGGACTTCTATCGAGAAAGGGGTTAATGATACATCATCCAAAATCACTTATGCATGACAGCTGTCAATGTTACCATTACATGTGCAAATGCACCAACATGTGCAGTTTGAAACATTTGAAACAGAATCCTGCCTATGCGACCTTTAAAAACAACAACATATGTATTCATCGATAACTTGGTTATTTGTTAATTCGTTTTGTACTTTGTACGCCTTCCATTTTTAAGGTCTCTCCGTCTGCAAAACATTCATTAATGTTGGCTGCTCCCTAAATAAATATGGAGAAAGGAAGAAATAGTTTTCTCTGCTTTGACTAAAAATAGAAATATGCTGAATATCAGGTTGATATGTTTTACCTTGATACTCACACTCGTATGGGGCCGTTTCAAGGCGTTCAAGGTTTAGTAAGGCGCAAGGTCTACTAAGGCGTGAAGTATACAGTTACACATTAGTTTACAGACGATATTGACAATTTAGAAAGTTTTTGTCCAAAAATTAAAACGGACTCCGATAATGCACGAAACAATAACTATCTAAAATTGAGTACAAACGCAAACATATGAGATTGCCCCAAAGAAAAACATAAGGTATAGTATACCAATGATGTAGCAGTTATGGCAAGATGCTTCTGCTCTCCAAGGGACCGTATAACACAGGTTTAAAAAATTCGCAATTTTGAGTTGAAAATATTTGCTTGCACTCCTGCATGTATTTCATACATGTACCTGAAAACATTGAAATTACTTTAAAATAATCTAGAATATAAAATAACCATTGAAGCTTGAGATTGTTAATGTTTAGTTGTTGAACAGTCACTCTGATTTCCTTACACTTTGCTAGAACAAGTCAAGTATGTATTTTGAGAAACAAGTATATCTAAAAATACTTCATTGGATGAGGAATTAGATGGGGGAAATGTCATATGCACTTATAAACACAGCTTATCACCTACATAACATGCCGAATATATAGAACTACTTGGACATTTACATAGAGGTACACATGCAAGCAATAGCCGCTCGTCATCAAACGTCCTGTCTTAATATTTTCATTTTCATTTACTATAATTTTGGGATATTAAGTGCGACTCCTCATCTGTCTGTGAGAAGCCAGCTGCAATATACAGGGTGTCAATAAAGTATCTTTAAAATTACAATACTAAGTCTGTGTAACGTGTCAAGACACTTTATGGACACCCTGGCACTAAAATCAAGCGCTTTACGTGTGTTTATAGTTTCCTAATTTAGGGCCTTTTTAGTTTGTACACCCTCCATAAGTTTGGCAAATGGACGTTTCCATTGGACATCATGTTAAAAATCTTAAATTTCTGACTGGGTGCCAAATGATATAAGCAGGCTTTATACACTTGGTGAAAAGGGGAGACTTCCAACTACCAACCTTTTGGAGGGGAGTGTATGTCTCTTCAGCGGTCTCTATCTGTTTATCATCAATTCTCAGGCTTTTCTTCAGACTTTTTTGGGTTCCGGGATTTTCTTCCATTTCACACTTGAATAAAGCCTGATTGTCAGTGATTGTAAAAAGCTCTCTGGAACAGATTCTGAATCTGTATGGACATTATGGGTCTGCATGGCATGGATATGCAAATGCTTTTTCAAATACCCGATAATCTTGAATTCTTGGGTGTATCACTATATCGATACAACGTAACACTTCCCTAAATAGTTGTAAAATTATGCGATAACTTATTCTATACTTTTTGGCCCCCCATATGATATTCACACATAAAAAAGCTTAATCGAGCAATGAAAAAGTTCCATAAAGTTACACTCCCCTCCACAAGTTTGGCAACCAAAAGTTTTTATTGGATAGCTTATCAAATGCTGACAATGTTTGAATCTTAATTTTGTTCCTTAATTGCAATAGTTTAGATATTTGATATTTTAAAACCGCCAAACATAAACAAGCTTTGATAAGTGATCCAAAAAGGGGACTTCCAGTTGCCAAATTGATGACGGGGAGTGTATCTAATACGTGACTGTTATCTTGAATATCAATCTCTTTAAGCCAAATGTAAAGGTCCCCTGGCCCCCATCTAACATCATTATTATGTTTTACTGTAAATCGATATAGTGATACGGTCCCTTACTTCGTTTTACTAATAAAGTGATGCCACATAATACAATTTCTCCCAAAAATAAACGCTATCTGGTTAATTACAAAACAGTTTGCCGGAAATTGGATCCTTGCTATCTTAGATCTGAGACTAAAATGAGGTATGTTAGTCTCAGCTTAGATCCACAGATCGGACTATATTCTATAAAAAAGAAAAGAGTTGAAGCAGATTCATGCTTTCAAAAGTTTTCAAATGTTTCTTTTCAAAAGTTGTACAAAAGTTCTCAAAAGTTTTAGAGTGCGTTGGGCTCATACCAATTCTTGACCTACCTGTATTCTATAAATTACAAATTCATATTGATTATCGATTTTTTCATTTATTTTACAATTTTGTTCTAAATAAACGATTTTACTCATTTTACCACCCAGTCTGAAATACATTTATCATTCGTTGAGATAGCATGGATCTTTCAAGATAAGATATAGGTATTTGAGGTAAAGAATACATTGGAAGGTCAATTGTACACGCCGCTTTGCACTTTGTTCACACCATATTTCTGATTGCACCTTTAACTCAAGACTTTAACTCAAACTTTTCATTGTATTCCCCAGGATGTAAGAATTACCTTGTAATCATTCCGTTTACTCAGAATTCAATCTCATTTTCAACACAAGGAGATAATTTTTGGCAAGTGGAAATCTAATTCAGGCTTCTATCTCACCGTGAAATATTATTCTTTTGGTTCTTCCCTAAATCCAGTCTATGTGATAAAGGTTTTTCATTTATTTGATTAAGTTGATTCCCAAAAGTAAAAAAACTGGATATATTCCTGGGGAATACATGAAGGATTAAATTAACGATCTGTTGAGATTCTTACTAACATTGTGTTTCTTGTTTAACAGGAATCATGGTCCATACGACGAGTTGCTTTAACCCTTGCCGCTCCTCTGTCTTTAGTTCTTATAGCAGCCATTGCCAGAAAAATCAACAAATTATGGTAGGCCATCTATCGTGTAATTAACAAACTGATTAATCAAACAAACAACGATGAAACAACCAATCAATAGAGTGAAACAAGTGTTCAGATTCATTGGTGTTCATATAAACCTGGCATAATCACATTATTCCCATGGCAAATTGTTTCTATGGCACATTGCTGCATGCTTTTGGGAAAATAGTTGTTTGATCGTGTGTTGAATTCCTGCAAAATCACACTACTTCAGATCAAAAATTATGAAAATTTTTGGTTCTCATGACCAATTATCGATTTCCTCAAACCTTCATGGCAATACACAGGGGGGGGGGACCAATATAAAGGGGCTGGAACAATATACAAGGGTGTGGCAATATACAGGGTCTTTGGCATACACAGAGGCTTGGGGCAATATATATGAGGTGTGGTAATATACTTGGTCTTTGGCATACACAGAGGCTTGGGGCAATATATATGGGGTGTGGTAATATACTGGGTCTTTGGAATACACAGAGGCTTGGGGCAATATATATGGGGTGTGGTAATATACTGGGTCTTTGGAATACACAGAGGCTTGGGGCAATATATATGGGGTGTGGTAATATACTGGGTCTTTGGCATACACAGAGGCTTGGGGCAATATATATGGGGTGTGGTAATATGCTGGGTCTTTGGCATACACAGAGGCTTGGGGCAATATATATGGGGTGTGGTAATATACTGGGTCTTTGGAATACACAGAGGCTTGGGGCAATATATATGATGTGTGGTAATATACTGGGTCTTTGGCATACACAGAGGCTTGGGGCAATATATATGGGGTGTGGTAATATACTGGGTCTTTGGAATACTCAGAGGCTTGGGGCAATATATATGGGGTGTGGTAATATACTGGGTCTTTGGAATACACAGAGGCTTGGGGCAATATATATGATGTGTGGTAATATACTGGGTCTTTGACAAACACAGAGGCTTGGGGCAATATATATGGGGTGTGGTAATATGCTGGGTCTTTGGCATACACAGAGGCTTGGGGCAATATATATGGGGTGTGGTAATATGCTGGGTCTTTGGCATACACAGAGGCTTGGGGCAATATATATGGGGTGTGGTAATATGCTGGGTCTTTGGCATACACAGAGGGTTGGGGCAATATATATGGGGTGTGGTAATATGCTGGGTCTTTGGCATACACAGAGGCTTGGGGCAATATATATGGGGTGTGGTAATATACTGGGTCTTTGGAATACACAGAGGCTTGGGGCAATATATATGAGGTGTGGTAATATACGGGGGATGGGGCAGTATATAGGGAGTAGGGAAATATACAAGGTGACACAAAATGCATCCAACATAATGTTCCATAACGTTTTTATCTGCATAAATTCTGACTTGTTCTTTAATACATTAAAACTGGACTCCGTGGATCAACTCTTCAAGAAATTTTAGATTACTAGCTCAACTAGATACACTTTAATAAAATGTGTTCTAAATATTGTCCATTTCTTAGCAGGACCTGGGTTCCATGTCCGAATAAATGCAGATAAAAAGGCTATGCAACAATATGTTGGTGGAATTTTTTGTGTCGCCCTGTACAAGAGTGTGGGGCAATATACAGGGGATAGGGCAATATACAGGGGATGGAGGAATATACAGGTGTGAACAATATACAGGGGTTGGGGTAGTATACCGGGTGGTATACAGGGGCTTGGTGCTAAAACTAGTGAGCACTTTACATTCAGATCATTTGGCTTCATCAGATCAGAGGCGAATTATGCTTCCTAAACCATTACTTCATCGAATTGAAAGATAGTTCTGCTTTCCAGTCACATAACATGTATTACACTAGAATGATAAAATAGATGAGCTGAGGCTCAGAAATAATTAACATTTAGCCTATCACTCCACAGTTTGTAAGTAGTAGTTGTTGTTGTGTCTAGATTGTAGACCTCTTGAATATCTCCTTTGACCTTATCTGATAAAATAAAGAACATTGCTTATGTACATTGTACTTCTCTATAGTATACAACTTTAGTAACACAGTGATTTCTGTGTTTAGCCTAGTCGTGTTATGTCATAATGAACAGCAAATATAATTCTATGTAGTGAACGGTTTTCCTGTGGTTGTTAACAATTTTACTATATAGAAACACCTGTATGTGAACACTATTTCAACAGTGAACATTTTTAATATGCTGACTGATAAATCATTGAAGTCCACCCCTGTATATTCAAAAAGGCAGCCTTTTAGAAATCAAGGCCCATTTTTCCAAAAAGGCCCAAATAACTAATTGGCCACACAACTCCCAACAATTATCTTACATGCTGGATGGTCTTGCTGGTGTCATATTGAACAAATTATCTTTATGTTCAAACATGTTTTAGCATAAAAAGAAGAATACTGAGATTAAGGAAGTACATGTAAAATGAAAAAGCAGCTTGGTAAACCTTGCATTTCCAGTATGCTTTACCATACCACACAAGGGTGTAGTTTTCTAATACTCTGTGACACATTGAAGGAATGTTTTCTATACTTGTGTGGATAACTAATATATATTGTGTCTGGAGAAGAACTTGAAATAACCTGAAGTAAAAATGCCAAATTACAGTACAGTAAAACCTGTCAAATAGTACACCACTGAGACAGAAGTGATTAGCTCTCTGGATATCAGTACCACAGTCACCTTAATTGCAGTGGATTTACAACTTTACAATTAATTCACATCAATATTCACAGGAAAACATTTTAACTCCATTCGGGTGTTTGACCTCACAGTTTAACTACAACTTATTATCATATATAAGTCAAGTGTTTGACAAACTCAGGAAAGAATGAGCCTTAAGGTAGTTCCATGCTATCACAAAAAGTTGAAAACAAGAAAATTGAGAAGGAATTACTCCAACATTTATTTGCAGTATTTTCATTTTGAATCCTGTGTTCTACCATATTGTGTAAATATCCTTTAAATTGTATGAAACAGTTCATCAATTATGGGTAATTATAATCATGAAAACAACATAAAAACTCTCATCGTGCTGATGTACCTTAATTTCAGAAGGTTTATGCCCTCTCGTGTTAACAATTGACTATGTCTAAAGCCTCTTAATTCATTTTTTATTGTTTTTCAGAAATAGGTGAATAGTAAATGAAATAAGATGTACGAAAGATCAGCGTCCACTGCCAGTATGCATCTTCACAATGGCTACGAACACTACCATAGCAACATTATCATCACCCTAGCAACATAAACATAGCAATGACACCATTACCATGGCAACCCCAGTGAGAAACCGCATACAATGTAGATGCCCAATGATATAGCTGTAGAGGAAAGTGCATTGCCAGTGATCAACAAAAACTATAATTTTAAAGAAAATGCAAGAGAACAACCCACATATGGGTTTTTCAGGTACCTCACAAAATGCTTAGAAGGAAGTAACAATTCTAATTTTGCATGCACAAAAATTAGTCATGGCTATTTGCAAATACAAACATAAGGCAATATATATACAGTGTATTTACTAATGTACATTTAGAATATGAATTATTTAATATGAATTTTTATTATTTATTTCATAAATGCAGCTTTTTTAAATATAAGTGTAATATGTGAAAATATGATAAGTGTAATAAGGCTTATAAACAATTGGTGCCACTAACTTCATACTGTTGCGTTTAATTTCAGTGTAGTGATGATGCAGTGCCATTTATAGAATTTTTATGAGAATGTAGTGTTTTCTCTTTAAAAGCTAACCTTGAGCATTCTTGACATTTCTGAAAATGCTAAAACAATTGAAGCTCAAATAACAACATTAGGAATGAATTTCACCTCATAAATACTAAATAAAGAGCTTTTTGTCCACTCATGTTAGTGAGACTGGTGGGTATAATTTCAACCTCAAAAATAGATTTATATATTCTTTCACTTTCTACATATAATCAGTATAAAGCTTAGGATTTGGCATCTCTTGAAAAATATCTGGCTTGGGTATGTATACTAATGTAATTTCCACTTGGAATTTTCTATTCTCAAGTCCCCTAAGGAGATATGTAGAAAAACTAATTCTGTCTCCCATATACCATCTCTGAAATAAAATCATTATTCCCCAAATTGCAAAATTAATAGGAAATGTATGAATTTATCAACAGATAAAATGAAAGGTGCAGACACTAATCTGAAATATTTATACAGTAGATGACAAAAACAATATGTCTGCTCATTGTGGTGTTTTAGAAAAATCTTTCAAATGAGAGACTAGTAATTTTTTGGAAGGATGTATTGATCGTACAGTGAGATTGGTCCCGAAAGAGTCATACATCTAAAGAATATTCCAACGAGTAAAATATTTATTGTGCTATAGGAAATGCTTTTATAAACCATCTACATTTTAGATGCTTTGCAACAGCTTTCATTCTGTAATAACAAACCTAATTAACACAGCTAACATCAGTATGAACCATATATTAATTAACAGAAACGTCATTTAGCGAACATCAAACAAAACCAATGGTAAAGTGTTAAAGGTGTACTGTCATTGTGTCGACTAATAAACCCAGGTTATGGGATTTTAAATGTGTTTTGAGATATTCTGATGTAAAATGTGTTTATTGTAGGATTAGTTTGCTTGATTTATGACAGTTAAGGCCTTCATTACCTCGTGACATGCAAGTGTAAACTGAGCTAAGGAAAATACAAATGTCTATTTTGAATGATTGCAAATCAGTATACACAAAATTAATTATAAAACATCCAATTGAGATGGATTGAAGGGGTTTCCATAATAACTGAATTCTGATTTGTATGTTCATGAAGGGTGTCAGCGAACTCTTGTTAAATTGTCAATCAGTACCCCACTCTGATTACAATTTGCATAATGCCGTATATTTCATGATTTCTGTATATTATCGCTCCCATTAGTAAAGCTCAACGAACTAAAAAGAATTCTGAATTTTGCCAAACAACCCAGTTCTTTCACATATAAGCAGTTTAATGGCAGCGATTATACATCTAAAATATATGCAATTTTATTACGTTTTAGATATTTTAGTGTGAATGAATGTGAAAATTTTAGCATGAGTATAATGTACTGAAGCATGAGTACTATTTGGGTCTCATTCTTTTATGCGTTTGCTCATGGTATCCATGGGGACCATACTTACCATACTTGCATATTAGTATAGCCCCTTGCACGAGCTATGAAACCCCTTGCATGCTCATGGTAGGATGGGGTCTTGATGGTACATATGCAAAGAATGTAAACCAAGAGTTCTTTCACAAATGAGGTCAATGATTATATATGTTATGTGATTTTATGTTTATATTATGTTGTAATATTTTTATTAATTATTATTGTATTTTATTTTGATTATTTTTGATTTGTACATGTCAGGTATGTGGTGTGTAACCATAGGATTGTTATTATGTACAGAATATACAATTTGTTGAATTTTAGAAAAAGTTAAGAACATTTCTATCAAATAATGTTGTACTTTGAGATAACAAATAAAATGATAAAATAAAGTGAGAAATGTGTATTTTTGTTAAAAGGTCATGGACTCACGAGAGAAAACAGATAAAATCCTCCTATCTTGGGTTAAACACAGCATCAAAATGAGAAAAACCTTGTTTAGGTAATTAAAACTGCTTCAACTCAAAACTACAGCAGGGAATTAGCTGAACAGAGCCTATAATAAGGACACTCATAAAACATATCATAAAATATGTCCCTGCTTGAACCAGATAAAATAGCAGAAATGCAATAAAGTCATAATGATTGTATGATTCCTGAAACAAAAAGAAACACATCAAACCAGGACTCTTTATTAAATAATCTTAGTTTCAAACCAAGTTTGCCAAATTATTTTTTTCATTACATTCAAAAATTATCATTTTAATATATTTTGTTTTGCTCTTTTTTTGTTTTTGTACACTTTTTCACATTTTGTGAATAGGAAGACATCTTTTGACCAAGCTAAATCTAAATCTTTTAGTTTTTTTTAAATACAGTAACATGACCTGACATCTTTACATAGGTGCATCCACTGAATCAAAATGAGAGGGCAATTCATATAGGCCAAATGGGAAATGAGCAGAAAATTAAGGGTACCACTGCACATGAGACAAAGGAGGACTACATCCCCAGATCCCTAATGTAAACATGGATACACCCAAGAGTTCACAAGTACAATATATTTAGCACACCAGTTCTTTTTTCTTGATATTTCAATAATCTGCTGGGTGACAAGAAACAGCTTTTTTACATCCTCATAAAACCAACATAAAAAGCAATAAATACTTTATGAGATATGTTTATTCTAAAACAATGGTATCTACATTTACTAGTCTACTTTGTACATATTCAATGATGTCATCATTTTAATTTACAATATTCACTGTCAAAAGAACACCATTATGAAACCTACACAGTATAAATGTGATGTACAAAGAATGTGAGATAAACCTGACTCAGACCCTTCTGGTCTTTATCTGGACCAGGTGATTTTCAACATGTATTAGACCAACTAGTCAAAAATTTAATCAACATGTCTAAAATACTTGACAAAACTTTATTATGAAGAAACATTAACCGAAGTGTCAAAAATAGTCATGTGTAGAAATATATAAAAATGAGTTGCTAATATCAACTAAAATTGACGATATCTACATGTACATGCTTAACATCATTCACACTCTTATATTTAACATTTAATTTTACAGTCATTTGAAAGTTAGATTTAAAGTATGCAATCACATTTTTGAACACATATTTTATAAGATTTCCAAAACATGATCATAGCTGCAGACATCCACTTGCTTTGCAAATGTTCGTTTAAAACACTGAACGAAGACCATGCTTATTTGTTCATCTCAGTTGTGTGATGTTTTACTTTACTATATTGCTAATGACTTAGGCATTTTAAATAAAACGCCAGTGTCAATATCAAGATTCATAATCCATAATTTTTGCCATATGTTCCTTTTAGGAAAAGTATCACCAAAGGGATCGTAATCATAAAACACACACACAGATATTTTTTATCACATTTCCAATGTCCATGTACAATGTGAAGTCATATGTGATGTGATTTAATGAGACTGATGATAAATACTTCCTCTCAATTGTTAATATCTCTTAAAGCCCCTACCTCGGCCCCGCCCACCTCTCTGTTGTCTTCTATAGCCGCCTCCACCCCTGTAACCACCGCCGCCACCACCATTGTTATCTGCAATTATAAGATATAATTACTTTCAGGAAGTTTTAATAAAAACGTATACATGTGTGAAACATATAGTGATCTACCTTGAAATAAAACAAACAGGCACTGTACTGAAAATTGCATTGGACCCTGGGTTGTGGATATGCAAAAATCAGAAAATTTGAATTAAATGTTGACCTTTTTAGTGGAAATTGACTTTACATTAAGATCATACCTACTGAAATAAAAGTCAATAATTTTCAGGAAAAAATTGACTTTACAAAATATCATAGAAATTGAAGTAAATTAGAACCATTTTTGTAGAAACTGACATAACATGAGATAAACTATTAAAATAAACAACATACAATTATTTTATGACACTGGGACCTCATCAGGACATGATTCTATCACTTTTATGAGGTTGTTGTCATTGCCTCAAACTCGATGCACCAATAGTAGCAGATAATCAAATTATTCTAATTGCCAATTGTTTCATCAATTAATTAACTTAAGTCTATAGTAGTCCATGGGCCAATAACAACAACATTAACAATACCATTGCACTACAAGTTTAACCAAAACATTGACACTATATCCAAAATAAACATGGATTGTAGAATTTTATGGATACTTCTTCAGGTTCTTGCAACTGGTTTATTTTCAGATGAAAAAGAAATAAATATATCAAATGTACAAGAAACAAAGGATGAGCTTCAGGAGGATGAACTGAAAGTAATGTTCAATAGTGAAGATGATGAAAAAGGGATTAAAGGGATCAATGGAAATATTGAGGCAAAATCAAAAGTGGCAAAGATAAGGGACTCTGGGACAGGAGTCAGTGTATGGTACAATAACACAAACATTGTACCACTAGCACGCAAAAGAAAAGTATACAAACGGCTCACAAAGGACCTAGAGATGTTTCTGCATGGTCAGCGTTTACGCGATCGGCTTGAAGTTTGGAAAACTTTGGCAATCATGCAAAAAATTATTGCCACCATTATGGGGCGCCCAGAGAGTAGGTTTAATGTGGAAGAAAGTGACCTCTATGAAGGGGATGTTGTACTCAGAGTTGAAGATCTTTTAGATGAGGTCCATAACCTTGAAGAGAACTTTGAAATAATTGCTTCTTCAGTTACTAGAAAATTTGAAACATCCCAGACTGACCCAATAGATAATGCAAGGAATGAGCTGAAAAAATTGAAACAACGACTTCAAAGACGAAGCCAAAAGCACTCATCATCAATGCGCAGAAACAAGAGATCAATACTAACAAAGAATTCTCCAAGGAAGAGAGTGTACACCTACAGAATCTCAAAGAGTTATAACACCAGTGAAACAGATCGTATTGTACAAGGCATGGTGGGGTGGGCAAACCATACTTGCCTCTCTTTCAAACCATGGGTTAGAGGGAAAAAACTGGATCTGTTTTTCTTCAGAGGGAGAAAATGTAGCTCCCCTATTGGAGTAAAGGGTACCAACAGGATCAGCTTGGATACAGGGTGTCTCACACCTGGCTTGATTCAACACGAAATAGGGCATTCTCTAGGTCTGATACACCAACATAGTCGGCCTGATCGTAACACACATATTAAAATTTTATTTTCCAGAATTCGTCACAAGTTATCTCCATTTGTAAAAAGCTCATGGACACGTACAAATCCTTTCGGTGTTCCGTATGATTTATCCAGTGTCATGCACTACCCATCTGCTGCATTTGGAATCTCGCCAAGAACCATCACCATGGAGACAATTGATAAGGAAAAGAGGGGAGTTATTGGTCAAAGAAATGGGATAAGTTTCTGGGATGCCCGAGTGATTAACATGTACTATTGCTCCAACCAATGTGTTGTAGGAGGCCTAGATGCTGGGGACTGTAATAACTATGGTTATCTCCACCCTGGCAATTGCCAGATTTGTCTTTGCCAGGATGGATGGTCAGGGACTAGATGCTCTAGCATACAAGAAGGCTCACCAGAACCATGTGGTGGGGAGGTAGTTGCTATGGAACAACCACAATTCCTTAACTCCCCTGGCTTCAATCAAACTAACTACACACATGGTCAGCAATGCAGCTGGCTTATTACTACAACCCCTGGTGATGTCATTTTGATGAAATTTATTGACAATTTTGGCATCATCCCACCACAAGGCACACGAGTGCGAACATGTGAGGACTATGTAGAAATCAGATACAAACATCTCGCAACTGTTGGACCAAGATTTTGTGGGAGTACAAGACCAACACAGATATTTATATCTCACAGCAACAGAGTGATGGTTCTCTTCAGGGCCAACAACCCTATCACCACCTCAGGGGACCAGGGGTTCAAGCTGGAGTACACCAGGGTCAGGTGTGGCGGTTGCACAAGTACTCTCCCAATTTCTCAGCCTGTTTGCCAAAGGACAACACAACATGACTGCTCGGTTCAGGTCAGATATGCTTCACAATTTAATTTCAAGATCTATAGGCAAACTAGCAAAATAAAATTGAAACAATTGAAATGCATAACTATACAACCACATTTGTGCTTGAGGCAAATAATAACTGATAACATGTTTCTTTTTATATTTTTAAAATGTAAATATATTTTATTACTTGTAAAAATTCAAGAACTGTTGAATAAATAATTTTATACATGTAGATTTAAAACTACATGTGTCTATTTGACTTAAAAATCTTGATAAGAGGTAGTAAAGCAATGTTCTCCATGAGGCAATAATGAGCTATGATATTTTCCACTCGGATACAAGTAGCACTACAGACTTTAAACCTAAACCAACCTATTTTAAATGTGGAGAATCTTCAAGTCGATGATTTGTTCTTTTACATTAATTACAGGTGTCAAGGAAACTAACGAGGCAGAACACATGTTTCAAGAAAAACACTTTTTGCTGTACTGGATTCACCCAAACTAACAACAATACAATGTGTACCAAGTCAAAACCAATTGGGCAATGGAGCCAATGGGGAGCCTGGAGCGATTGTACAGAATCATGTGGTGGCTGTGGGGCCAGGAGCAGGAGACGTGGGTGTATCAGTGGTGCCCTCTGTGTGGGTACCTCCATGGAGACAGGGGCGTGTAATACGAAGGTTTGCCTAGAGGCGGTAAGGCAAGAGAGCTTCTTGTGTTCATTCCTTGTTAGGAGGCGTCGTAGGGGAAGGAGGCCTAGGTTTGTCACTAGGTATAGGATGTGTGTTAGAGATAGCATGTGTTGTGAAGCAGCACCCAACAACATTGCTGGCATATGTACGCCATAACATTATGTTACTCACTTTTTATAACGCATTATAAACATTTGTTTTTTTGTTCATTCTACCTAGGAATAGAAGGTATTTTACCTACATTTTCCCAATGTACAGAGCATGTTGTGATTTTTGTGGGCTTATTATGTCGATTATATTCCAAAAGTTAGAGCTGTCTTAATACTTATCCAGAGTCTTTGTTTCTACCGATCAGTCTGAGGAGAACATCTATATGGTCAAAGAAAAAGCAGCCATCCCAATTTCGATATAAAAAAATTATTATCTCCTATACTTCATTTATTTTATAAATATAGTCTACATATAGGTATATACATATATTTAGACTTATATGATGAATGTTGTTCTGTTGAATAAAATGCTGGGCTTGAACAGTTACTATATTGAACATCAGGCCATAGCTTAACCTGTAGTTCTTCCATGTTTTAAGATACTTCTGGGTTTTGAATAATCCCATGCATTGGGATTTTACTTTTTGACACCATTTCATTTTCATAGATTGAAATGTTTTCAGATACATCTCTCATGAGCTTCATTTGGGGGTTACGCACTTTTAATGGTCTATGTGATAGTACTTTGACATCAGCATATATTTAAAGGTGTCACTTACCTCGGAATGTGCCTGCTTTATCACTGAACTTGCCACTAGGGGGAGCATATATTTTCCTGTCTTGTTGTTTAGATATCTTATTTTTGCTTTCTGAGTCAAATGTCACTGGTGTTATATTTGATCGCTTTTGCCTGAAAAATAAAAAACATTGTTATATGTTTTACATGAACACTTATGGTTGGCTCCTAGATCAGAATTCAGAATGTTAATGTTTTTTTACGTACATGTATCAAACATTGTGAATAACTAAGTTATATCTTATTTCACTTAGAGCACTTAGAGTTTGCCTTTTCTTGCTAAGTTCCATTACAACTTTTGGTCCTTTCCCTATATTATATATTCACATCTCAGATGATGACAGCATGATAATAATCCATATTTTGATAATAAGGCTATGTTTTATACCCTTATTAACTTTTAATATATGAATTTCTTAGGTTATCCCTGAACCCCTGTAGTTAAACCTGTGTGTAGTGAAAGGCTAAACTCACCCTGTGGCTGGTGTAGGAGAAGCTGCAGGTTTCTGAAAGAAAACAAAGTTTTAATGAAAGTCTCTTCAGAAAAAGACAGCATCACTTTATTTAAATCTGAACTGTTGAAATTCTAACTAAATACTGAAAATGCAACATAAGTATTACCATTTCTATAGTTTCAATGTACCCGAGCCAAAATTTCAGTAGTAAAGTGGACATGTGGTGGGAAGTCATTTATTTTGGGGAGAGCACATAGGAGAGATCCACTATCCACGCCTGTTTCTCCATTCCATAGGTGAACATACAAAAGCACTAACATAATATTTAACAAACTGGGTAGAAGGTACTTACCATTGGTTTCCATGAGAGATGTAAGACAGCCTTGTATGAAGGTGGATTGTGGAACAAGTCTTTGATCAAAGTGTTAATGTTGGATGTAATTTTAAGTGCTATCACCTTTAGTTTATTCTGAAAGAAAATTTCAAAACTTTTAAGTACAGTGGCAAAAGGGGAAATCCTATAAGTTATAAAGAATCAACGAAAATAGAACAAAATCAATTATGAAAACCAAAAATATTTGAAATAGATGAACATAAATAAACAAAGAGATAATGAACTCCAACTATAATTGCAGTTGATTCTATATTTAATAGTCAGTAATTTTACAGAACACTTTATTTAACATCTAAATTTGGATACAAATGGATATCAAATCACTAATCAAGCAACTTGTTTGGTACCAAATATCCTTTCAGAAATCAAATTCTTTAAAACGTTTTCAGCTGAGAGTACATCTAATAAATCAACTCATCAGTTTTAATTACTGAGGACAGATTTAAAGATTCTCTTTCATAAGATACCACTCACCTCATCAGTTTTTAGAGCATCTCCAGTTTTTCCTTGTAGAGCCATTCTCAGCTGCTTAATGTAAAGTTGTAATCCCCTAGCAAAGTACTGTAACCTGGAAATAAAACAAAATAGCAAATTAATATATTGGCCAATGCAGAGAGACATATTTAGCCATGTTGTCACATACAATCATGAAAATCATGTAATATAATCCTTCTCTTTTGCTTAATTGATGAATTTACAAAATTTGAAGTCAATACACTTTGAGAAAATAAGATTAAATTGTGTGGTTGTTACAACTGGTGGGCTCACACTGCACACAGTGAAAAAATGCCAAATGAAAAAAACAAAAAGTAGGAGCTGGAACCAATGGTATAAACTACCAGTATGAATCCCATAAAATGAACATGGGCATTTGATAAATGGCAGTTTCCATTTGTTTGAAAAATTCTTGTTGGATGAGAGATCAAATCTCTATGGTTACCATATGAGCCAAAACAAAAATCCTTTAGAAAAACAATAGCAGTAGTGCCCGTTGTATTTATGTTTACCTGATTCTGAAATCCTTTAACCTCTCCCCATTATCTTCGCCTGTGAGGAACTCAGGATGTCGCCTGGCTATCTGATGGAAGGCATACATCAAACATTCAACATAAGAGAACTCAAGTTTGGGGGCTTCCACAGGGGCACTGTTTTCTTCCTCTGGGGGCTGTGGCATGTAGTCCTGAAGGAAACATGGACAAATTAAAGACATTACAAATGGCATTGGTTTTCTTATATGTTTTGTTTTTAAGAGCCTTCTTGTAAATGTACAGCATCCAGAATTATGACAATACATTTGAAACAATAAAGACGCTGAATACTAAGAAAATTAATACATGTATAGGTGTGAAGGATTTACAACTAACCTGACAGTTTTTAGATTCACACGTTTAACATGAATATGATTTAGAATTGTTAAACTCTGTAAACGCATGAATATCAGAATAAATAAAACGATTCTTTAGTAGATCAAATCCCCCATTAAATAAATATTATTTGACAAGCTGACACATTACAATTACTTCAAACTGTTCTGGTCAACAACATGGCCGATCTCAGCTGATCAACAACATGGCCAATCTCAATAAAGTTGTCCACAACATGGCAAATCTTAATCGAATTGTCAACATGGCCAATCTTAATCGAATTGTCAACAACATGACCAATCTTAAAAGAATTGTCAACAACATGGCCAATCTTAAAAGAATTGTCAATAACATGGCCAATCTTAATAGAATTGTCAACAACATGGCCAATCTCAATAAAGTTGTCCACAACATGGCAAATCTCAAAAGAGTCATCAACAACATGGCAAATCTCAATAGATCAACAACATGGCCAATCTCAACAGAGCATGTTTATATAGAACCTAGTCAACCTACCAACAATTTATCAAAAACACGCTGCACTTTTTCAATTCCATCTTCTAACTCTCCAGCATTAGTGGACATTTCAGCAAATAGTTTGAGAATCTCTAACTTGAGATCAGTCCCCTCAGCTTGGTTTTCAATACTACTTAAAGATGGCAGCACTTGGTCACATATGTATGAGACGAATGCTGCTGAGTGCACATTTTTCTGAAAAAAGAGAATGTTTTATAAAATATACATTTTTTATTCACAGTATAGATATAATTTATCATCTTAATTGAAAACTGGGTTGCTAAGTTACTAAATGAGTAACATTTTTTTCAGAAAAATATCACTCAAGTCACATGATAAAGTCAGAGGGAAAGATTTGCCTAATTCACCTATTTGAAAATCCTGGCTAATTGGAATTAAAACTGAATTGAACGATTCTGATCAAGCATATCAAGGTACTATTGAAAACAGGTATGTCATATTGTATTGCACTTGAAAGTTGAGAAAGTGGTCACTACTTACTGAGAAAAATGGCATTGCTTGCCTTATACATTGCATCAGTCTGTCAACACAGTCACTGTCTGTTGGCTGAAATACAAAAATGTAAATTCAAATATTTGATGCAATGTTTAATCATGTTGGCAGTAAAATAAATAAACAAAGAAACCTGAATGACACATTTTGAGTACTTCTTCTCAATTCGAATATGATACGTGATGTCACAATAGCTCCAACAATTGATTTACTGGTGTATATTAAAGTATGTATGACCCCTAAAATTCATAAATGCAAATAGTTGTGTTTCTTATCTATTTATCATATCAGAATCGTAATAAAGACCGAGATTTTATGATTCATGGCAAATATTATGACCTCAAACCTTATTCTGACCATTGCCAAAGACTTCAATCACTATGTGATTTCGGTGTTTTAACAATGAACAGAATGAAATTTTCAGTCATATATTACACCATAAATCATACAATCTCGGTCTTTATTCCTAAATATAAAAAGTTACTAAAGATTCAAAATGTCATAATAAAATGTCCAAAGATGTGGTACTTTAGATCAACTGGTTCACACAAAAGTATGTGAATGTCATATGACTATACAGAGATATTCAATGCCCAAATATAATGAAAGGCTTTTGAAAGGTCAAAATAAAGGCTTTTGAAAGGTCAAAATCAAGGCTTTATATATCTTGATTTGAAAACTTCCGTCGATTGTAAAACCTGGACAAATACACATGTATGTAACTACTCACCTGGAATTCTTCTTTGAGACTCGCCTGTTCGACTACGATCTCCACCAACTGTTGTCGACCAATTACTGTATTAATTGATGTAAGACTTGAGAGAATTTTCATAAAAGATACAAACTCATCACCCGTTACGTCGTCAAATACCTACAACACATGAAACAGACATTATCAAACAAGGCATTAACTTGCAAAATGTCACTACCTGCCATTTGTTACAGACACCAACCAGCGATTGCCATTTGTTACAGATGTCAACCGCCGAGCGGACACCATCCACAAAAAAGTTTAAGACAATAACATATTGGTTTTTATGTCAGATGGCCAAATTGTGAGGTGGACGGAATATTTGGGGTGGGCACAATACAGGTTGAGGTGGGCCCTGCACAATGAAAGAACCCCCTGGGGAGATCATAGCACTTTTCCAAATAATAATGAGAGATATAATGAAATGTTTACCTTTTTACATTCACTTAGAAAGTATTCCTCGATATCTTTATTGAAGATTTCATCGACAGATTTCTTCATCCTATTCTCCATAAACTTTATGGCCCTTTCTCTGACTATATCTTCACCATTGTTAATCTGGGAGAATAGACCAGTCAAAGTACCTGAAATGTCATATCGAGTATAAGCTGTCTATCATTTGAATACTACACATCAATGTTTTAAGTAACATGAAAATATTCCCTGCATCTTTAGTTCTTTCCTTATCTTGGTGTAAAAAAACAAGCCAAAATACTACTTAATCAAGAAATGTTAGCAGAAAAAACAACTAAAATTGTGACACTTTTTCAAAAAGTTTCCATCAATTGGACTTCATTGCCACTTTAATCCACTTAAAGTGCTCATGCAACACTTAACAATATTCCAAATTGGGATTTGTTAATAAAGACTTAGTAATAGAAATCCTGTACTGAGACTGAAAGGCATACCTTTCACATCTATCTTCATAAGCACCATGAGGGAGCTCTGCACTAGGGATAGCTCCATGGAGTCCTCACATTGGAGTAGTTGACTTAGGACATCTGCTATCCTGGGGACATGCTCTTTGGCATCCTTACAAAGTCCTGGTAGGTCCTTGATAGCCTGTTTTCTGATCTAAAATCAAAGTGATTTTTGAATTCGAGTACTAGTATCGTGCACAGGAGTTTCAGTATCAGTAGGCAAGAAGAAATTTCCTGCAGTTGTTTTCAAGTGTTTTCATCTGTACATGTAAAGTAATCATCTTTACATGTAAAGTAATTATCTTTACATGTAAAGTAATTATCTTTACATGTAAAGTATTCATCTTTACATGTAAGAAATCATCTTTGCATGTAATGTAATCATATTTACATGTAAGTAATCATCTTTACATGTAAAGTAATCATCTTTACATGTGAAGTAATCATCTTTACATGACTGTTATCCCTATTGTCAGAAAGTCTAATGGAAACATTTAGTGTTACTATGCATATCAGGCTTATCAAATAATTTGAAAAACTGATCACAATTTATCCTCTGAAGGGTGCAATAGAAAGTGTGAAGTGAATTCAATTTGTTCCAGGGTAAGAGAGATTTATCTCAATGTATTATTTTAGCAATTAAATAATTCAACTAACACAAGTGTGACTTTTTAGGATGAATGATGGCTGTATTTTTATGGGATAAAGATGGCTGAATATGAAATATAAGACAAAGCTAAACGCCACACAATTCTCTATCATAAGAATCTTAGAGATACTCTCCTTAACCATTGTGCAGAAAATGTACTAGAAATCTTCAAATTTTACACTGTTACTTACTGCAGAGTCATCGTCTTCACATAAATCCAACTGAGCATCGATAGCATTGTCAGCAAGAGAAGGGAAATATTTGAAAAATCTTGCGATGAATTGTGAGGCAAGTCTCTTCTCATTGGCCCCACCCTTCACTCCACTGATGATTGACAGGTACTCCTTCTCATGCTGGAACATAGAGAACATGTTGAGATCTGCCGCATGCAATCATTTTGTCTATTTTGATTATTTTGGGAGAGCATCCCCCAATAATTGCATGCCTTTGGTAATACCAAACTATCTATTTCCACACATCGTTCAATTCAATTCATACATCTCTACTAAAAGTGGTAAGTAACTAGAACAGTTCTCTTTCCAATCATTTCATTTTGCTTGTAAACCTATGGAAATATTCAGATGCCTCTATGCCGATCAAGCAGTTACTGCTGGTGAACAAAGGCTGAAATATCAGATCAGCCCAGCCTTTGAAATAGGTAAATGTGAGGTAAATTTAAACAAATATAAAATTACTAAATGTAAATTGTCCAAAGGAAACCCGACTGCCATTACGTCCATAAATGTGGGGTAGGCTAGAATCTAATGGTTGTTGGCTAATCGTTGGATAATGGACATGGGATAGAATGAGATCTCAGGAAACGAAATGAAATATGAGCAATAGAGGGAAGATGTCCAAAGTGAATTTGGAGCATAATTAGTCTTAGTGACATACCGAGAACAAGAAAAAGGGAAAATGGGAAAAATTCATAAAAAAATTATGAAAATAAAAAAAAATCAACTCACTTCACCGGCTTTATCTTTGGCATCTGCTAGCACAGCAAAATCCTTGTACAGCTGCTCGATGGAAGCCATCTCTCTGCAGTATTTAGGACAGACAGAATACTCTAATAATGCTTTTATTTAGCATAAATCAAAAGATTCTTGGTGAAAATACAAAAGCATGTATTTAACAAGCTGCGCACCGGAAATCGATTCAACATGCGCAAATGTATTATCGCCCACTTCAGTTTTAAAAAATGGAGCAAACATTTGCAAACGATTTAAGCCTAAAGGTAGGTTGTTTAGAATATACATCGCTTGTTTCAATCTCAGAAAAAAGGATTTAGAATACCATGGTTGAAAGATGTACATCATCAAGTCGATTGCACGTCAAATGAAATAATGTCAAAGTTTTCAATTTTTTTAAAAAAATGGGTGAACTCATTCTCAAGTGATAGGCCTAGCCTACCATAGGCCAAATGAAAAGTTGTATTAAAATCAGTAAAGTACTATTTTTTCTCATGGGATCCGTGTTAACGGCCTACTAGTAGAACTACTGACGGTTGTGATTGGTCAGTATACATTACGTAAAAATGTTGTGATTTGATTGGCCATGGGCATTCACACTGGTGCTCCACTCGATTACGCTGGTTACTGTTTCAGTAACAAAATTTCGGAACGTCGAAGGTACGATTTTTCTTTTTTCCTTATTTCACGCGTCGTAGGCAAATCCCCACGACATTTTTTCTCTCAAATGTGTATCATACCATATATTTTAGAAAATGTCCATGTTTGCGAAGAAATAGCTCAAAAGACAACAGAATCGTCGATTTAATTCCTCACTTGGTAGGGGTTAAAAGTGCAGATCTTAACTGTTTTTCGAAATACCGTTTATGTAACTTAGTGAGGAATTAAATCGTCGATTCCGTTGTCTTCTGAACTATTTGTTCGCAAATGTGTTAAACATATGATACTGATACACCTTTGTGATAAAAATGTTGAGGGAATTCTGCCTACAACGTGTAAAATAAGAAAAAAGAAAAATCGTACCTTAGACGTTCCAACATTTAGTTAACGTAAAGGTTCCAGTGTAATCGGAGGATCACCAGTACTGATTCAATAGATGCACTGATGGCCCTTAGTATTTGATATTTGATAATTGGCGGGTATGAAAACTGAGTTAATGGGTAACAGAGACTGAGTTGACTTGGATCAAATACTGACATGACGACACTATTTTTCAATCTTTTGCTGTGCCAGTTTTAATTCAATATGCAAGACTGCAAACTTCTCATCATTATTATTTGGTTCAGAATTCATACACATTTGAGGCAAGTGGTGATATATTGTTTCGCCAACTTTTTGTGATGGCAGTTGGCATTTGCCCGGTGTTTGGCATTTGGTAATTGGTGTTCAGCATTCAGTGTCTGCAACAAATGGCAGGTTGTGAGATTTTGCATGTTAATGCCTTGTCATAGTATGCTGATGAAAACATGGATTGTTCATCAAATCAATTGTGAGTCAGTTTGAGCCAAAATGAATAGCTTGTTTATCTTAATTAATTGGCCCATGGGTTAACCAGTTCTAACTGTAATATTACATAGTATACACAGCTGACGTTGGTTGTTCATGTATTTATTTCTAATGTTTTATAGAATTTCAAAATTTATTATTTTTATACTTTTGTGAACTAGGCCTAATGGAATAAATTCATATCTAAAAACTCTTTTGACAGTGACAGAGGATTTTGTTGTTATTTAACACATTGAATGTAATGGAAGCATGACACATTTTTAGACAAATTACCCAATATGACAGCTAGTTTTTGAAAGAAATAGAGTTTTAATAGTTAGAATTTAAACCTGCACACCACCTCAAAACGCAATATGTGGACATATATTACTTTCACATTTTCATACAACCAACAATACTATTAAGACTGTAATATAAAGTTGATGTCATTTTAAACTTTTTTTCTGGTAATATCAAAGCACAACCATTTAGTTTAAAAAATAAAAATCATGTTCATGTTTGAACGATGGTGGCAAGTAAACATTCTGGCAATACACCACCAAGAGTAATTTAACATGTATCATTTAAAACATTTTAATTCTGTAGTGACCTCATATTCTAAATTTATAAACCTTCCAAATATCAAAATGTCTATGACAATCCTAGCAATCGAAGGAACAATCCTGATAATGACACATTTATCATGAGTATTTGTACATAAGATTTGCCCCATTTGTTTACTTAATTGTATATTCTTTCATATAGCTCAAAATCTTACCCGAAACAACCCAATACTATACTAACTATCATTCTTTTGAAAATGACTGATTTGACTGTCATGTACTTGACAAGATGTATAATGGAATTGTATTGTTTTCATCTGGTTTATTTTTAAACGGAATCAGCGACCAAATCATGGTTATTTGATGAGCTTTTCAAGGTTGAAACCACTCGTTATCTGCCCGAACAGATTAATTAATGATTGACTAGATGTTAATGATAAAATCAAGTTGATTGATGTGTTACTTGAGACTTTAAAGTCCTATTCTTCCCCTTTCTAATGTTATTATCTTTAAATGAGAGCCCTTTGTCAAAATTAAATCCACAAATGCCAAAATTACATGAAATATCTGCTCCAAGTACATGTATATTGTATCATTGTTTTGCGATTCAATCAAATGTCATTTTTACAATTGTAATGTCCGGGGCTAAGGCCGTGGGTGGCGATAATAAAGATAACAAAATGCCAAAGTTAAAATATATAAAATCACACTACTATACCTTGCATTTGGTGTTCATGAGCAACCCATTTGGCTTATTAGTAATGATTATGTATTTGTTTTTATTTGTCTGTTCCTTATGAATGGTTTATCGGTTGAAAATTAGATGCTAGTAAGGCACTTTCAAAAATATATTAAACAATTCAATTAGACAAACAAAGTATCTTATGCATTTCTAGGTGTTAGGTATAGTAGTGTGAAAATGGTCTATTTCAAATAAACTTAGTGTTCTCTGTATAATCTCAAAGCAACTACCAAGCTGGGCAAACACCCAAACTCAAGTGAGTGAGTGTGTTTTCCATATATGGAAGTGACACAATACAAAACAACATTGAACATACAACATGAAAAGCTAAAAACTGGTTTGAAACAAAAGAAAGTGAAAAGGCAAGGCATGGCAAACAAGAGGATTAAAACATTTATCACTGATACAATAGTAACCTAGGGACCTGTTATATTGATAAGTGAAATATAAAGGATTGATCAATATGAAGTGAAAAATATAAAAACATGAAAATGGCCATGTTACATCCACGCGGACAACGTCTAAATGCGTCCCGCATTTACCTTAAGTCGGTCATAAATACAAAATACACAAAGGATAAATATTTATAGCAATTTAAAATTATGTAACACATCTGTATAAAAATGAGCTTATTCCTCCCCTAATAGCATCCACAATGGTCAACATTATAAAGCAAGGTATAACATAATTCTAAAGTATAAAATGTTGACTAGTTACCAAAAAACATGTTAAGTAAAATCATTTTAGGCTTAATTAACACCATGTAAGGCAAAATATGACACCATATAGGCGAATGCACACCACAAAAGGCAAATATACACCATACAGGCTATTGCACACCATAAAAGGCTTATTATACACCATAAAAGGCTAATCACCATAAAGGCTAAGTATATGCACCATATAAGGCTTTAGCACCATAAAGGCTAGTTACTTTACACCATAAGGCTTGAACACCATAGGCAGTTAAATGAACACCATAACTGGCTAATAAATAAACATCAATTTAAGACAAATACACCATGAAGATTGATTACTCAATAGGTTTGATTGGCACATTGTGGTAAAAGGCTAGTCACTAACGATATATGTATATCTGATGTCATGACAGTCAATTGAAGATCAGTGAAGATAAAAGTTGTTCCAGATTATCATATTATGGAAAATATGCAGAAGTTGCAGAAGTTAATACAGATCTCTTGTAGTTGTAGGTCAAAACGAAACATATCCTCAAATCAAACATCAAATAGTATCGCTTTGTGATGATTTGGTGTCTTTCCTTTCCAAAATAGATGTTCTCCTAATTGTTTCCATAAAGTTGAAGATTCAGTTGGTCCCACTCGAGTTATAATTTGATCCAATTTTTCCTGCTGCGTTTTGATCACTGTTTTGTATAATTCCATTGTTTCGGATTGTTCCTTGAGTTGATTCTTGATATCAATTATAGTATTAAGATGTTTATCACAGGTAACGGTCAATGTATTAAATTTCACCTCAGAATCCGTCAGATCAGATTTCAGTTTGGAGATGGTTTGATCATCCCTAGTTGTGCGATCAGAATATTCCTGTAGGTCCTTTTGTAATTCTTGGATCTGTCTGTCTTGAGCTTTAATGTCAGCCAAAATTTTAACCTTCTGTGATTCCAGTTCCATGATCCGTTCTTTGTATATTCGGTTTCCATTCTTCTGTCCATATAATTCGCTCTCTATGCGCTTGTAGTTGTCCATGTTGTATTTATAAACATCCATATTTACAGTTGCTGTTTGACAATGTTTATTATGTTGCTTTGATCGTTCATTTGATTTTAAAAGTTTTGTTTGTGTTGAAGCAGACTTGGTTGATTTTACTAAATGTTGTTGAATTGTTGGGTATTCCTGGTGATCTCTATCACGGTGTCCATATATTTTGCATTTTGAACAAAAATACCTGGCATTTTTGAATAGTTCACATTGTCGCTTGGTGTGGTTTACAGATTTACAGAACCAACATCGCTTCACAAATGAGATGGTATTCCATTTTGTCGTAAATTCCATATTAAAAAGTATGATTGTTCCAGATGTCTAATTATTCTTCTAATGTGTGTCACTGTCAAATATTCCACTTTGTTGCCTTCACCTACCCAACTTCTTCACTCACCAACCCCACTTTATATCCTTGCCTACCCCACTCCTGGTACCAATGTAATGTCCGGGGCTAAGGCCGTGGGTGGCGATAATAAAGATAACAAAATGCCAAAGTTAAAATATATAAAATGGTCTATTTCAAATAAACTTAGTGTTCTCTGTACAATCTCAAAGCAACTACCAAGCTGGGCAAACACCCAAACTCAAGTGAGTGAGTGTGTTTTCCATATATGGAAGTGACACAATACAAAACAACATTGAACATACAACATGAAAAGCTAAAAACTGGTTTGAAACAAAAGAAAGTGAAAAGGCAAGGCATGGCAAACAAGAGGATTAAAACATTTATCACTGATACAATAGTAACCTAGGGACCTGTTATATTGATAAGTGAAATATAAAGGATTGATCAATATGAAGTGAAAAATATAAAAACATGAAAATGGCCATGTTACACAATGATAAAATGTATAAAATGAATGACACCAGTTTTACAAGGCTTACTGCATTGTATTGTAGATTTATTAAGAGTAATTATGAAATCATGTCATGGCATGAGTAAAGACTTGAAGATGTGTAAATGGTCTTGTATGTTAACAAAAGATTATGTACTTCAAATATAAGATGGTCCCAATGTTTATACAAGCTTTTACTCAGACCTTAGATGGCTGTACCATTATGCATCTCCAAATTGGCATCATCCCAATTAAGGTCACTCACATTGGATTTCATTGTAAAATGCTATAAACTGAAAACAATGATATAGTTTGTTTGCATGTAATATCTCTAATTATTTGCATTTTTTATGAGATAATTGAATTTTATTACAATTAAATTTAATGGCACACCCTCAAACTACAAATAACTCAATTGACATATTTTATCATTTCTCCACAAGACCTAAAACAAATATATTTGAAAACGAGATCAAGGGCTAATAAGGTTGATTTTAGTCAAATGTTAGTTGCTTGTATGATTAGCCAGAATCATGGCAGCACAGTCTGTTTTCATCAATGGAGAAAATCATGATTTTGTGATGCGAGTTTCACAAAGAGTAAAGCAAAAGGTGTGGAGAAACTCAGTTTTTATACCATTGACTCGCTAAATGCTGAAATGCTTCAGTGTTTTAATATGTAACCGATATATTTCACCAGGGCAGGAAAATATGTAGGATTATTAAAGGATGCATTTTTGTTGCCAAATCTAGGATAAATCTACAAGGGTAGCTTTTCCTGGGCATTAATGTCATGTCTCCAGGAGTTTATTAGAATTTATGACAATACTCACAAGACCAACAACTAAAATTATTATTGCTTATTAATTAAACTTGGAAACAGTTCCAAAATCCTCAAACAACAGGCTATTTTAGTAAAAAACAATTGCCTGTTTGTGAAATCCAGGGGCCTGTATTAATCAGATATTGATTTGCTATTTCAGGTGAATGAGTTATTGGATCAACCAGTGGAAAGACAGAGACTCTTCCAGGCACTAAAACAATACCAACAGTAAGATTCAATATTATTGGAAATATTTCGTTAAAGTGGCAGCAAAGAATGGAGAGTGTAAAATTTTGGAAAGAATATTTTCAAAAAGCATGTCAGTGTTTCTCTTAAATCTTTATTTTGTTTCTGTCGAAAAAGAATGAGATAACTGATCAAATATAGAAGTTATTGAAGAATAAATTGCAGAAATATTTGAATTCATTAGGATTGAAAGAGGGGATTTAAAATTTCCTTTTCAAAAATACCAGATAACTAAAAATTGAAGGGATTGTGAAATGAAGTCAGACCTATTTGAATTTTTAGAAAATGGGCATGGCATTGAATCTTGTAAAAATTGTGACATGTTTTAGAACCCTACTCTTAAATCATCTTATTTTTGTTGTCTTTTTCAGAATTTAAATCAGATTCTTTATCTTTTCATTCTCATCTTGCTTTACAAGGTTTCAATTGCTCCAGCCCTTTGTTGAATATATATTAATCAAAATATCCATCCACTGAGTAAACCATGCTTGCTCCAATGATAATCTCAAAAGCAAGATACAAGATGTATGGGCATAAGAACTGTCTTAGTCAGAATGTATCAATTAGAATCTCAGCTGGGTTCAAACATTTTCATCTGTCCTCACATTGCTTTTCAACTTGGATCATGTAGAGTTCTATATGTTCTTGGTTAAAAAAGATCCCCAGCTTCTATCTGGGATCAAATAGATTCATACAAATAGCTGGGTTCAAATAGGTAAAAATGCAATGGATTCTAAACATGATTCAATGCTTGGTTGCTTAGATGCCATGCTAGAGATAATTATATTAATTTTGTTATATATATTATATTAATTTTGATAATAGTATAAATATGCATCCCTTTATCATCAAACTTTTTAGGACATATGATGTAGACACCCTGGTTGGAGAATTGAAGGAAATTATTAAAGATCCAAACAAGATACAACTCTACAATGATATAAGGTAATTAAGTATGAATGATACAGTATGTCCCATTGTCTTCTTCATGGTTTCTTATCGAGTTTGACTGTTTCTGTGCATGTTGATATCATGGTTTGGTATCCAGGGGGTCATTGACAGAACTTTCGCAAAGTTACGAATTTGCAAGTCAATTGTTGATTTTACAAATTTGGGAAATGTGCATTAACAGAACTTTCGTAAAGTTAAGAACGATTCGCAAAGTTATGAAAAAATGATGTCACGTATGCTTTCGTTTGTAACTTTAATAGCACCTCAGACCCTTTCATAACTTTGCGAATGGCATATTTCTCATCCAGTTCTTATGTAAGGTATACAGGTTGGCAAAATTAAATTGTTCTTTATATGCATGCTAAGTTTCAAGCTAAAATATCCACATATTCTTACATGATAAGCAAATATCTTTCTGAGCTGGGAATCTTTGAAATCACGGAAACAGGTTTAATCACAGCGCGCAATGATATCAAATGACATCATATTTTTATTTGTGCTAAATAATGATATAAGATGACGTCACAACTTGAAATTTGTTTACGAATGATAAAACTGACTTACGAAAGTGTCTGTTAATGGCCAATTTGTAACTTTATGAATTCGTAAGTCATTCGTAACTTTTTAAATATTTACGAATTTCATAAAGTTAGGAATTACGAATTCGTAACTTTGCGAAAGTTCTGTTAATGACCCCCAGTTTGTTTGTTTTGTTAAGATCACTCTAAAAAATAATTACTTAAGTTTGTATTATCTTTGTATTTACAAGTAATTTAATTACTAGGTCAGGTAATTGTTTTTGTCCCAAAGGGTTTTTCATTTTTGTAATTATATTACTAGCATAGTATTATTTTGACTGAATTACTATATTGAGTAATTAAAAAATTACTTGTATTATAAATAATTATACTTATTAAGTAATTATTTTACTCTATTCTATAAGTAATTGTTTTGTTCCAAAGGGTATTTTATATTTGAGGATAACATTACTAAGTAATTATATTACTTAAGTATTGAAATTACCCAATTAGAAATTGAATAATTTGTTCAAGACTTTTTTAGTTTTTTTAACTTGCAATTGGCTATGATTCATTTACAAGAGAATTCTTTTGTTCTCAAGTTTCCACATATGTCAATGATTACATGCAGCACTTTGAACAAATTGTACCTCACTTTTGGGGACCAGACCTAATAGTTAACTGAATACCACAAAATGGAGTTTGTCTTATTAGGTTAATATCAAATAGAGTTAGCATTAATTAATTGTATGTTAATCAGTTTCACATAAAATTGACATAGTTCTTTGCAAATTTATAATTTTATAATTTTGTTACAGTTTCTTTTAATAAAGAATTAAATCTTGATTTTAAAAATATTAATATTAAAAAACATGATATCAAACTACATTAAGTAATTTAATTACTATTTTAAAAATTTAGAATACTAAGTATTGGAATTACTCAGTATAATCTTATCATTTTATTGCAGTTAAACATATTAATTCATTAACATTGCTATTGCTATATAGTAATTCAAATATCAAAAGATTACTCAGTAACACATTTCCAATTTAATGCAATTAAACTTAGTAATTCCTTTACATTGTTGGTATTATCATATTTCTATAAAGTAATTCAAATATTAAAAAGATTACTCAGTAGTGTATTTTGAATTTAGTGCAATTAAACATTTATTTGGTACCATTTATTTACATTGCTAGTATTATAATATTTCAATATAGTAATTTGAATGTTAAAAGAATTACTAAATAATGTATTTTCAATTAAATGTTATTAAACATAGTAATTCATTTACATTGCTAGTATTACTATTAATGAAATGTTAAAATGCAAATGGGGAATAAAATTACCTAGTAATATTATTACTTTTATATGCAAATAAAACAAAAACAGAAACAATTTATTTACAAATAAAGTATTACAATTATTAAAGTAAGTAATTCACACAAATAAACAATTACTAAGTAATATGATTACATTTTAGGTGACACAAGTAATTTATAAATTACTTAGTAATCAATCAAATTACTTCAGCTAGCTGTCAAGTAATATTTTTTAGAGTGTATCTATTATACTCTCTTGGCACTTCATATATTTTAGAGTTCATATTATATTTCATTAGTTCACAAAATTATACGTTCTTAAGCAATCTGAAAATTGAAAGATTTACTTATATTTGTAGGCCCTTGATACTACTGAGACAACAGATGGAATATGATAAACTGTTACCACAGCAACACATGGAACATCTGCGTATCATAAATCTTGAGAAGTCTCACCAACAGCAACTTGGATTTGCAGTTGTAGGAGGTGAGTTCTTGATTTTAAAACTTTATACTGAAATGTTGATTCTAAAGATAGTTCTTTTCAAAATGTTGATTCAGAAAAAGTCGAATTGATATCATGATAACACCAGGCTATCAACTTGAGAGTTTAGACTCAAGTTTTCAAGTTAACAGCAACTTTAGTGTACATTTCATTTGCCTTCTTTTTCACAGGTTTAGAACATGGCATAGGTGTCTATGTGTCCAAGGTAGTTCCCAATTCCCAGGCTGATATACAGGGATTGAGGGTGAGTACAGTAAAACCTGTATACCCTAACACCTCTCTTATTCAAACAACTCTCAATGTGAACATTGTTTTTCAGTTCCAATGAGCTAAATCATTTAGTTATGTAACAAGCTAGTTTATAGTTAAATGCTAATTTTTTTGCACAAAAAGCTAAAATAAATGCCACATGAATGCAGGTTTATTAAAGAGGCTTTCAGTTTCAACCTTTCGAACGAGTTCAATTTATTCCAATTATTTACCATATATTTTCACTTAAAATCATGTACAAAAGTCATTTTTATGTTGAATATATTCTTTACATGTATTTCTTGAAACCAGGTTGGTGATCAGATCCTAAGGCTGAATGGATTCACTATTGACCAAGCAATTCATGAGGAGATACTGGCCTACATAAAAACAAGCAGAGAGCTTATCCTTAAAGTCAGAAGTAAGTTGATGTATAAATACATGTGATGTCATTCCTGACAGCGGTGTGGGTTAAAGGCAATGGATAAGTTGCATTACTAAAATTAAACTGGACAATATACATTCAGACATTTTTAAAAGAAAAATAAAGATGAAGTTCACGAGTAGTATTTCACGTCTTTTGCTTTGAATTTGCCCATCATCCTTTTAATTTACAGTGGATTAAATTCTACTCTGTTTCCCTCATTACATCCCCATATAGAAAATGTGTAGTACATTGTCTGTAAATGTAAGAGTATAATTTCATGTTTTTCAGTTTTTATAAAATTGTTTTTGAAGAAATTAAACTGTAATTTTTTATTATATTCCAGATGTAGGAATGGTGCCAATTAAAAGGTGAGCAAAATCTTTATGCCCAAACTTTACTTTACTAATGTTAATGATTTGTTTAATGTTCAATAATATTTGGACTTTTAGCCAGTTTATCCCATGGTGTATAACATATATTCTTTATTTTTGTATTTTTGCAGTGTGCAAGATGATAAACTGAAGTGGCAGTACATCACACAGGAGGTATGTTAGCATTTCTCACTAATGAAAACTCATGCTTTATTATGCACAATACAGTACATAGAAATTATCCAAGTTATTGTTCTAAGTATGTGTCAGCTGTCATGTGGTATATTAGAAACATTCCAGTGTACTTCAACTTGATTTTGCACTTTTATAATTGTTGATATGACAGTAAATACAACATTGAGTGAGAAAAAAACAAAATATGAAAAGTAAAATAACAAATAAATACAAACAAATACATATAAATATAAACATTTTACTATTGAGAAATTCATTTCAGAACAAAGCTGTGTCCAATGGTCACCAAGATACAGTGAAACTGTTCATAAGCATTCCACCAGGTGCCGGCCTAGGCTGTAGGTATGTCCCTAGAAATATTTCTACAAACAAAATTTTATAATTAAAATTTTTTATTTGGCCTTTTCATGACCAGCATTTAGCATCACATTCATTGTGGGTATTTGACATCTGTAACAACTGTTACACTTTGTATAAAGTAAATAAAGTTATTTTGTATCCAATAATGAACCATTGCAGACTAAGACTAACCCATAATACAAAGTTACCACAGATATGGGTAAACTGGAACATTTTAATATTCAGCAAGTATTTATTCTTAATTCTTAACAAGATTTCTCATCACAGAGACAATTCTGGTTTTTAAAAACATGTGCTTTGCGAGATGTAATATGCGTCATCATCCATTGATCTTTACTTGTAGTATATGCAGTGGATCACAAAAGAACTCAGGCATATATCTACAGTCCACTAAAGTGGGAGGATTGGCAGAGGAGGCAGGCTTAGAGGTGGGGGATCAAATCCTGAATGTCAATGGGACACGCTTTGATGGAATTTCTCACTCAGAGGTATGAATAAAGGTATTAATACACTGTATGCATGATTTTTATTATCTCACTAAATAAAGTTTGTAGGGATAAACAGAAGCTGTCCATCTGTCTGTACGTTTGTCCGTCCATTCATTCATTCGGCTGTTTGTCTGGGCAATAAGTCAAAAGCGATAAATCTGTTGACAGATTTGGTTGAAATGTTATTTTTTAATGAAAAATGGCAGCCATTTCAAATTGAGCAGCATTTTGAAAATTCCCTCCTGAGAAGAGTCCTATGTCTCTACATTGTGATGTAAAATATATATATTGTAATGCATTGCAAATTTTACTGTATTGCAGACTTGCAGTTGTTTTATAATATATCAATGTAGAAACATAAACTGAGCAATTTATGCATAATTTATGTGACAGTCAAATAACTGTTAAATCATATCTTTTCAGGCAATTGTGGCCCTGAAAAGTAGTAGGCAGCTTTATATTCAGATCAAGAAAGGTGCAGGATTAGAGTTCTTATCCAGTGGGAGTGATGATACAATAGAAGCACTTCCACAAAATACCAGCACAGCTAGTCAGATTAGATATGAGCCAACAAGAGATATAAATGATAATAGTCAGGCATCTAGTTACAAAGCACCGTCACAACTTAGTAATGGTATGTGTTTTCAGTTACAAAGGTCAAAGCAAAAGGCCAAAATCACCTGCCTTGGATTAAAGAAACTCCTGCATTCTTGTTTCAAATGAATGACATAGGTTTCAATCTTAAACTCATAGGTTACATTTTATCACTCAATCAATGCTATGGTTTAAAAATTATGCATAATTACTTATACTGGTAGTTAAGATTTGAATGCAGCTATTCTAATTATGAATGATATTCCTTCCAGGCCAAGCCAATGTAGAAGTTCACAATGATGCCCCTGCACCTGAGAGTTTGCAAAAGCTCTTCAAAAATTCTGCTCGTTTAGTGGAAGCCCCAGACACTAATAAGGTACATTTTAGTATTCGATCATAGCTTTCTCAAGGTTAATTTTCACTGCTAGTACATGTACATTTTACTTGTGAAAGTATTCAACAAATGTTCCTGAAGCATGACTATTTCTGAATTAATTCAATTTTCCAAACATTTAATTACGTATAGCATAGGTTTTTCAAATTAATGTTTTGCTCATTATTTGACAACCATTTCTCCCTGATAAAGAGGTAAATTAGTGATGAGTGAAGTCATGAAGAATTATTATCACAGTAATCACAGTATCACAATGTACATAATATTTGTAGGAGCTGACAACCAAAGTAGACGAAACAAATAGCTCTGACCCTTATTCACTGGTATGTAAAGTATGATTTTATTTTTAAATGTCTTATTTGAAAGAAAACTAAAATTGGTCATGTTCTATATTTCTTACTCTCACTCTTGCCATAAAGTAGTGTCACATGTCCGATTTTTTTTAGTTTTAGATATATGCAAGAATAAACCAACACATGTATTTTGGTATCAGCCTAAAGATACAATTATAAAAATCATGCCTCATCTCTGTCCACACTCACATACTGTAAGTGGAATAGGACCACTTCTACCTTATATTTTAGCATCCAAATGATTCATTTATTTCTTTAGTTCACTGAAATAGAGATAGATGGCAGAGACCTCGTGCAAGTGGTTGTTCCTATAGAGGGTGGCACAGTAGATATGACGTTAGAGGGAGGTCTAGACTCTCCACTTGGGAAAGTGGTAGTTGGCGAGGTCTTCCAAGATGGAAATGTTTATAAACAAGGTACTGTTAATGTTAACATATAGATACTGTAGATTGGGTTAATTTGGCGCCCGCTTTATTTTGGAAAAGTTGGCAAAATTGAAAAATTCGCCAATATAAATCTTCGCCAAAAAGAATGAATCCCCGGGAATTATCTAGGGTATTTCGTCCAGTGTATTTAGGTCACTTCCGAAAAAATGTCACTCATAAATTGGCTCAGAACTGGTCAGTCACTCACCAATACTCAGAAACAAACTAGAAAGGAAAAGCGCGGTATAGTAGCAGCATCGATCAAGGTGCAAAATGTAAAGGATGATCTCACAAAAATGTACAAACGTGGTGAATATCTCCAGTGGTCCTCAAAAGAAAAAATGAACATAGCCAAACATGCCCATTTACATGGTAATTCCCAAACAGCGCGTAAGTTTAACTTTTTTGCATTTCCGCCAAATTAAATAGCCGCCAATATGCCAAAAATGGCAAAAATCGCCAAATTAACCCAATCTACAGTATACCAAAATGAACACATGTTTAATGAACATCTCTATTTTAATGATCACCTCTCAAAAGTAATACTTGTTTATAAATGAACCCTTCCATGAGGAACACCTTTTGAAATGTATACTTGTTTAAATGAACCCCCTTTTTTAAGGAACACCCCTTGAAATGAATGTAATACCTCTGTATTAAATTATATGTTTTAAATTCAGTATTTTATAGGAAACGCATTTATTCCATTTTGTAGGTGGTGTTAAGAAAGGAGATACAGTAATGATGGTGGGTGATTTCAAGTTGGTTAATACAACATTGAAATCCGCACAAAACCTTCTGGACAAGGCTTTACAATCATCCCAGGTGTGTGTATTTATTATATCACACATAAGCTAACAGTGTTGCCTTGCCAAAATTATGTGAAAAAAACTTAAAATTTTGCCACACTGAAGTATGGTATAATCTTGCATTGCCTTTTCAAATAAATATCTCAGTTTTTTGGATCATGGGTGCCCTCTTATACTGTCAATTTGACATTTATTCATTTTGACATTTCTTTTTTGTAGGGCTCACTGGGGATTATAGTTGCAATTTCTCCACCAAAGCATTATGAGGACGAAGTGTAAGTTAAGGTTTTAAACAATCTGTAAACCATTTACTTCATTTTAAGCTCCTTTAATCCTTTACTATTGTGTGATAACTTGCTGAAGAATTATATTCTATTTGGGAATAGCTACAGCCTGACTTCGTTTTTTTAAAGCATGATATGTTGTTATTCGTTGATATGTTGTGATATTTTGATATGTTATATTATGTACTGAGAGTAACCTCATGGATCCTGATGATTGTATACTGTACTTGTAAAGTGATTGTATTTCTTATGAATTTTGATAACCATTTACAAAACGAAGATAATTCTGAAACCATAAAAGCTAATTGTTCAAAGTGATTTAAAGTTCAGATAATTTTGAACTTTTTCAAATGCATACATTTAAACATGATGACATAATTATTTCAATAAAATTGACTACTTAATTCATTGATCATAAAATGATTGACCCTGACTCCATGTGTTCATTGATTGTGCAGCTTGTATGTATTTGATGGAGGATGAAACCAGAGTGAGTATTCGTGAAAAAGGAAAGGGAATGTATTGTATTAATCTAGAATATAAGTTCTTTGAATTATAGCTAGGCTTGCATCATGTCCTTACAGGGTGCCCTATTAGTCATTTTATATAAAATCTATATTGTCTTTAAAAATGGGACACCCTGTATATTACCCTCTCCCTCGATCCCTCGCCATGTCATAAACTAAAACAATAGAGAGATTTGGTACTGCAAAAACAATGTCACTTCTTGAAAGAGTAACATTTGAACCAAAGTTGATACTTCCAGAATAAAGAGATGGGAAGCTTGGAAAAGGGTGCACCAGTGACTTGATGCAAGCATTTTCTTTGTGCCTATACGTTTAAAACAAGGCTCTTATATACTGTAATGTCCATAAATAGAATAAGCTTGTTTCTTGTATTTTCTACCCTTAGCATTTCCTGCAAGTCAGCAGCATTTGATAGTTAATTGATACATTATAGCACTAGTTATATGTAATGATATAAATAGGTAATGTGTTTTGTATTTAGATGGGTATAGACGCGATGGGTAAGAAAAGTAAAATGACAATTCTCATGAATAACACCTGAATATTACAAATGAACAATATTTCCTTAATGGTTTTACCATTCTTTACATTTTTACACATGGGTATACCCTAAGGATGGATGCGGTGTTTACTCATAAGGGAGGGGTCTGGATGAACCTAACATCTTTCTATTAAACATCTTAACCTACCTACTAAATTAGTCCTTTGAGTATAATATCTTGGAGCCGCTAATATATATATAAATGTTTTTCTCTGTATGGTGTAGTTATCAGAGCTTTTCTCAGACTAAGAATTAAGATGAACCAATCTTTCTGTCTCAGTCTTTCTATATATAATAAGCAACTCTAATACATATCTTGAATAAACATAAAACTTAATTACAGCTGATGAGGGACTTTTTTCTCGCTTGCTCCTGAATTTGATCTATTTCGATTGTAAATGAGTACTTTTGAGTATACTGGTAATATATTGTTTAAATAGTGTCATCAGCCTGATTAATTTGATACAATCTCTTTTACAATATATTATGATACAATATGTTTATTAAGGTTTGTTATACAATATCAAGATGGCTGTAATAGTATGAAGTATAGTATGTAAACAGTATGCCTGTCACATTTTGACATTTGGGTGTTTATGGTTAATTGATGATGTGACTTTTTGCAGGACGTACTTCTAACCTGGCAGAAGATAGTAACAATCCACAGTGAGTGTGATAAGTCAATATACAACACAAAAGATCGTAAAGTTAATGTGCCAAGAAAGAACAACAATTGCAATATAGAATTGTGCAGGAATAACATTTGTAATATAAAAGTATGCAGTAATAAGCGCAGTATCTAAGTATGCAGAAATGACAATCACCTTTACTTCTTATAATAGAAATATTAAGAAGTAACATCTGTAATAAAGCAATATACAGTTATGATCACAATGTGTATGTATGCAGAAATGACAATTACAATACAGTGTGTCTCAAAAAAAATGTTACACTTACAAAAAGTTCAATATCTTTCACAATTTTGATTTTTCCCCGAAAATATACTTAGATGCTTAAAGACCAGTCTTTCTCGATTAAATTCACACCATCAGATTCAAAATCCATCCATGATTGGTTGCACAGGACAGATTTTATAAACGCATGTGAAATCTGATTTGCGCCAACTTCTCAGTTGTTGGACATGAGGTGATCAATTCTTTTTTGGTGTGAATGCTGTGGACAGTGATATCTTGATATGATCAACGATCAAGTTGTTTCTTTCCTGGATGAAAATACAAGATTCCATTGTCAAAGTGTTCAATTTAGTTATGTATGGTGTCAACAGGATGGTGCAAAGGCCTGTGGCAGATCGTTTGGTAGAACTCTTTGGAAATCAGAAGATAGCATTGAATTACCCAATGGATTGGCCCCCAGGGTCATCCCACTTTACACCCTTGGTTTTTTGAAGGGCTTCTGAAAGAGCTTTACAGCATCACAAACTGACCTAAATGAACTTCTGCAAAAGTAATTGATGGAATCAGAGTGATATTACAATGCATGTGCGCATGGGCAAGGGTACCTCATATTTGATTTGGAGAACACATCGAGGGGACCACATGTCTATGTGGATAGACCCAATGATCATATGCAAGACAAATAGAAAAATTACAGAATGACTCAGTTAAAGGTCAAGCTTCTACTCAGAAGAAAGTTGAATGTTAAAGAAACTGTTCCTCTTTTGTCATTTGGTCCATCCAATCACTTAGAAGTTGGCGCAAGTCAGATTTTACCATGGGGCACTAAAAGCTGTCCTGTGGAGCCAATCAAGGACAGATTTTTAATCTGATGACGTCAAATTATTCCAAAAAGATTTGTCTTTTGGTATCAAAAGTATTTTTTAGGGGAAAAGTCAAAATTATGAAAGATATTGAACTTTTTTTAAGTGTAACATTTTTTTTGAGACACTCTGTATAGAAGTAAATAGAAATAGGTTTGCAATATGGAAGTATATAGAAAGGACAACAGCAATATAGAAGTAAACAGAAATGACTTACAATATTGAAGGAAATAGCAATGATATTCATGAAAAAGAATTTTTCAAAATTGACATTCTCATAGGAAATATGGAGAACTTTTTCATTATATAGAAGTAAAGAGAAATCACATAAACTATACTCAGTATATAACTAATAACTAAGTAACAGAAATGACATTCCTAATACAGAAGTATTGTATGCTTCAATGACATTCCTTATCAATAAGTACGAGTACAGAAACGACATTCTTGTGTATGCACAAGCAAAATTACATTCCTAATCGAGATATATGCAAAATGACATGAGTTACATTTTTTCTGAATTCAGCATGGGATTTTTCTTAGCATAAGAATATACTGTAAGATTATTTTCCTGTGAATTAAAGATGTCTTTGTTGACGTCTAAAAAGCAAAGCAATCTGATTGCATTGGCATTATTATAAAAACAGGTTTATTAAATATAACAATGCACTTGAACATTACATACATTGTTTTTTTTTATCCAACATATCCCATTTTATGGTTAATATTTGAAAGATGTCGCCAGCAAATATTAAGTAGTATGGAAATATTTGCATATTCACGCTATACGAAATTTAGAAATCAAAATACAAGGGAAGAAGTTGCAAAACGTATTTTGTGCGTATCATAGTGTTATATTAATTCAAAAATATATGAGAATTTACAATTATCTTATAAATGCAGTTTTAATTCTCATACGTTTTTGTGGATTGTATGCTGACATACTTTTATTATTTACAAATTATAATATGGGTACAATGAAAACCATATGTGGTACAACTTAAGTGGGGTTGCTTTATATATAATTACATTCTTTCAATACGGAGACCCTTCTATCACTATGTATACCGTAAACAACTCACCACCCTCATTTATAAAACATTTTATGACGTATTCCTGGGCCTCAACTCGAAAGTATGTAGAGGATAATGCAAAATCGAATTTCTGATAACTTATCAGATAATCAATACGCATTCTGATCAATACGCATTCTGAATAGGCTAAAGATCAACACATTATGTTTGGGCAGACGAAGCATTCTTTGAGCGAATATTCAAATGAATGCAAATGGTAAACCCCATCGGGTGTCGACTTTTGGCAATCAGCCGAAGATACCTCAAGAAAAGCCGGAGATTGCCGAAGATTGCCGAAGTTTTTCTTTGCAAACGAAGTTGGCCGAGGGTACCACGAATGTGAAGAGGACGTCTCTAATTGGTCAAAAATAGAGGCTCGGCATTCTCCGTCAGATTGAATCGGCAAAATTCGGTTGTAAGGCTTATCTTCGGTTGTATGGCCCAACCTCGATTGATTGGAAAAGATGCTGTCCCAAACCCCATCTAGGATAATGTAAAAACCACATCGGGGTGAGATGTGTGCCTAATTTTCCGATGAAAATTTTACTCGCCAGTCGCCAGAGTACACATTTATATTCCAAATGGGTACAGACACATGTAACCTATGATCTTATCACACATACAACCACAACCATCAATTTATCATAGGAATGTTCTTCTCAACATTTACACCTATTAATCATTATAAGAACATACTCTAAACAAAACCCAAGCCGCGGACCATTCAATATTTTAGTGCGTGGATCTCCTCTTAATTTGAGAAGTCTTGGGATAGAGACAAATTGGAAGTACATGTAATTTTCGAAAACATTGTCACAACATTACCTTCTGTATTCCACGTCATAACTTTATATGTAAAATGTACAATAGTTCTGACTTCATTCAAGCACAACCCTTTAATTTTTTAAGGTTGTCTGTCAAAAATGAAAAGGGGATATGTCTTTTAATTCTAAAGAATTTGGACGTTTTGGCAACTTAAATTGTCAGTAGTTTTTCAACTGATCTGATATCTCCATTATTCACAAAAGAAATTTGTTTGTAAGAGAACAATGATATGATTTTTGATAAGTTTATTTCAAACATATTTCACCCTCTACTCGTTTTAATTCCTTTAAAGATTAATAATCTGAATCTACATGGATTAAAACCTCTAGGAACTGGAGTTTATTAAATTTTTGAACGTCGCGTGAATATGCAAGGGCTTTTTTACCAAAGAGATTATTCAGAGCCATTCAATAATTGAAAGAAGTCCCAAGGCTGCTAGGGAGTTACAACGTTCTAAACTAGATGTACCTATGTAAGTTAAATTTTGTGTTCCATGTCTATCTTATAAAAATCAGAATTTGATAAATATTTTAAGAGAGATGAGTTCTAGCTTGGAAAAAACAGATCATGGTTCTAAAAATAGTCGCGGCCCGTGAAACCAAGCACTCTCCCTCTTTAAGGTGGTCCGTCCCTAATTAAACTAAATAGATCGCTTGTGCTTTTACTCAACCGACCCCATTATGCACATTAGCATTATGCATTTTTGAGAAACAAGTGAAAAGCAGCTGCCAGTAAGTTGTTCAATATTAGATGTACAGTAAAACCCAAACCCGTGTACAGTGAACGAATAACTCGGCGCCGGGAAAAATCGTATTGGAGCGTATTACATGAAAAAATCGTATTGTCCCCGGGAAAAATCGTATTGAAGCGTATTAACCTAATTTGGGTTTCCCGGTTATTATTAACCTTGACTATTTGATTGGCTTATTTTGGTCTTGACTTATTTTGGTCCAAATGTAACCTGATTTTAGAGGGATGTATTATGGAATAAATAGGTTATTTCTGGTCTGGACTGAATATGGGTTTTATTGCCTTGGGCAATATGATATTGACACTCGGTCGCTGCGCTCCCTCGATCAATACCATATTGTTCCTCGGTCAATATCATATTGTCCTCAATCCCTCCCAGTAAATAACCTATATTTATTTTTTCTTTAAAGATGTTCCATGTTTTTTTGTATTTTTTTATAAGGCTTGCCAATCGCCTGACAAATATGACCTTAGACAGTTAGGCGTTTGTTTGAAAAATGGGACAATTTTTGAGATGTTTAGCGCATTACATATTATGCAAAATTAAGCCTACTCTCTTGTTCCAATTTCGCCAATGTTGACAGATTACATCTTTTATGGACACTTTCTGTCAAACTTGTGACAGAAAAAGGAAAAAGAAATGCACCGTTTCATTTTACGAAGGAACAGCAAATATCGAATGCGGTTATTCCCAAAACAAATTAAAGTTGAACAAATTGTTAACATATTTGAGATATGTGTTCAATAGAACAGGTTACCCTGCAAAGTGAGAGCCAACCAAAGTACAAACGTTTACAAGTTTGGGGTTCGTGACTTGCCTATTTGTCATACTTATCCTCGCATCTAAATGCTTTGACTTAAAGTGGCTCAACTTTAAGTAACTTCTTCAAAAATCCTAACAATTAGAACTGTATAATATTGATCAAACCTAGAAGCAGACAAGGCATACCAAAGTTTTAGAGAAACTATTTTTCAGACGGTTTCTCAGTTTGATTAAGAGATCCATAACTAACTTGGCTCTAAAACCCAGAGTACTATTGATGGTCTGTTTTATCTTAAAATCCATTGATATTGCAAATCACCGATCATTATGTTTTTTGAAGTATTTTAATATCAGAGGCACGTCAATGGCAAATAGTACAGACACAGTACCTCTATTTAAGGCTGATGACCCAGTCTAATTAGTTTCAACATGAATGAAAGTAATCCAGATTAATTTTACTTGCAGAAAAGGCTATATTGATCTCAATCATATTGATTCCGGGCTCGTAGTTTGATTTTTCTCTATTTGAGCTACCCCCGGATGCTTATTAATGATTATAGGCCTATATATTAAAGAGTGACGCGGTCTAGTTTGAAATTGCATAACTAACCCCCACATCTACTTATGTGGAAGGTTAAACATCTAAGATATTTCTGGACTACAAAACAAAGTGTTATTCTTTCTCAAAAGAATTTCCAATGCCATTGCGTGTTTTATATAATTGAAAACTGTTCGGGCATATTACCAAATATTTCTACACCTACTGATCGACCCTCGTCCCACGTTCGGTCTTCGCTACGCTCGCAGGGGGTCAGTAAACTGCGACGCTAATCCCAACAAACACAATAGTTTATCGTGATAAGAGATTGATACGTGCCCGAAATAGTAAAAGTAAGTTATTTTAGAATACAGTCAGATAAGACAGTCTGATCTGAAAACGCACTGAGGAGGTTGTGCTTTAAAATTTAAAACAGGGTTTGAAATGGAAATAACAAAGAGCGTTAACAGACAGGACTTTGACTAATTCTCTAGATTGAAGTAGACTACAGGAATTTGAAGTTCAACAGAGATATGAAGTACGATGATACCCTGATTCTGCATCGTCTAGTCATAATATCCTCCTACTATAACAAATGATTTGGCAATTTCGATGCTTATAAGAAACGATCATAACAGTCTCAAATGCAGCCTTTGACAGAGAAGTTAAAGTGAGGTACTATTGCAGAAAATGTACGTGTCGTGACTTTCTGAGTGGATAGTTTTATTTGATATGATGGTAAATCAAATATTTTTTATATCTTATTAAAAGTGTGTAGCTGAGTTAACATTTTGCAAAGGGTAGAAAATGAGCATGGCCAGATTGACGATAAATACATGGAGAAAGGAAGAACAAACATTTGTCTAAAGATGCCTTGTTTATAATTGTTATCTTAGTGTGACGGGAATGAATCTTCGGCGGTTACACACAAGAGATGATTTCTATGAAATGTTACGAGGTTGAAGAAAACCAAGATTTGGGATTGCACGGTAATTGGCATTAGGCTGCATACACCACGTGGATAAAAAACTCGGATGATGAACGGTCAGATTAAGAATTAAGAAGCGGGGCTCATGTAACAGTTCTGACAGTTCTTAAGAATAGTCTCGGTGTGGATTTAATGTTTCCGGTGGGTGCAGTCGTTATATCTTAAGTGCATGGGGCGATGTGTCGAACGGGGTCAGTTTCCAAATGGCAAATTGCACACATTGCTTTGTTTGTAAGTTTGGTAGCCGTGCCTGTAGTAGTTGCAATACCAGTCACCTTCACCAAACCAGATAATGGAAACAGCATTGACGAAATAAGGGTTCCGATCACCATTACCAAACCAGCTGATGGTAATACAATTGACGAAAGTAATGAAAGGAAACCGATCACCATCACCAAACCAGCTGATGGTAATACCATTGACGAAAGTTATGAAAGGAAACCAATCACCATTACCAACCCAGCTGATGGTAACACCATTGACGAAAGTAATAAAAGGAAACCGATCACCATTACCAAACCAGATGATGGTTATACCATTGACAAAAGTAATGAAAAGAAACCGATCACCATTACCAAACCAGTTTATGGTAACACCATTGACGAAAGTAATGAAAAGAAACCGATCACCATTACCAAACCAGTTTATGGTAACACCATTGACGAAAGTTATGAAATGAAACCGATCACCATTACCAAACCAGATGGTAATACCATTGACGAAAGTAATGAAAGGAAACCGATCACCATTACCAAACCAGCTGATGGTAATACCATTGACGAAAGTAATGAAAGGAAACCGATCACCATTACCAAACCAGCTGATGGTAATACCATTGACGAAAGTTATGGAAGGAAACCAATCACCATCACCAAACCAGCTGATGGTAATACCATTGACGAAAGTTATGGAAGGAAACCAATCACCATCACCAAACCAGCTGATGGTAATACCATTGACGAAAGTTATGAAAGGAAACCGATCACCATTACCAAACCAGCTGATGGTAATGCCATTGACGAAAGTTATGAAAGGAAACCGATCACCATCACCAAACCAGCTGGTGGTAATATCATTGATGACATTAACGGGAGACCAATCACCACTAACAAACCAGTAGGTTATACCAATGACGAGGGAAGTGGCAGTATACCTATCACCATCACCAAACCAGGTGACAGTAATAACATTGACAAAAGTACTGGTAGGATAACCATCAACATCATAAAATCAGCTGATAATGATACCATTAATGAAAGTAATGGGACAGCATCGACTACCAAACCACCCGATGTAACTACTAATGATAAAAGCAATAGGAGGATACCGATCACCATCACCAAACCAGCTGTAAATCATATCCTTGATGAAAGTAATGGAAGAATTAGAAAACCAATTACCGTCACGAAACCATCTGATGGTAATACTATTGATGAAAGTAACGAAAAGCTACCGAATACCATCACCAAACCAGCTGATGGTAATACCATTTATGAAAGTTATGGGAGAATACCGATCACCATCACCAAAACAACTGATGGTATTTCCATTGATGGAAGTGAAGCGACGATACCAATCACCATCACCAATACATCTGGTGGTAATTCCATTGATGAAAGTGAAGTGTGGATACCAATCAACAAACTTGCTGATGGCAAAATCACTGATGAAAGTAAAGGGAGGATACAGATTACCATTACCAAACCAGCCGATGGTAATTTTATTTATGGAAGCAAAGGGTGGATTCCGATCACTATCAACAAACCAGCTGATGACAATATCATTGATGAAAGTCATGGGGAAATACCGATTACCATCACGAAACAAATGGATGGTAATACCATTGAAGAAATAAAAGGTGGAATACCGATCACCATCACCAAAACAACTGATAAAAACTCCATTCATGAAAGTAATGAAAGGACGTCTATCAAAGCCACCAAATTATTTGATGGTAATACCATTAGTAAAAGTAAAGTATGGATACGTATCACAATCACAAAAACAAATGCAAGCAATACCATCGACGATATTAAAGGGAAAGTACCAATCACCATCATCACACCAGGTGATAAAAATATCACCGACGAAAGTAATAAGAAGATTCTGGTCACCATTACCGAATCACCTGATGTAAATACCATTGACGAAAGTAATGGGAGAATACCAATCACCACTACAAAACCAGCTGTTGGAAATACCATCGATGAAGGTGTTGGGAGGAAACCAATTACCATCACCAAACCAGCTCACGGTAATACCGTTGACAAAAGTAACCAGAGGATACCGATCACCACCACCAAACCAGCTCATGGTAATTTCATTAACAAAAGTATTGAGAGGATACCGGCCACCACCACCAAACCAATACCTGATATTGAAGCTGGCCTTTTTGGGGGCAAAGAGGGCGGAGTTAAGGTAAAGGAAAATTTTCAGACATTTAAGAATCGTTGGTTCGTAATACGAACTTCGTATATTTAAGAAATAATTATCATTTTTATCGCAACATGATTAGGGTACACTAAAAAGCCAGGAAAATGTAATAAGTCAAATGATGTCATAAATCTTTGATGATTTGAAATAATTTGGTATACGATAAAGCGTACTTTTTTCATCTATCATATGTAAACTTGAATTTTGGCTCATATTTCCCAAAATAGATATAAGGATAACGCATTTCATCAATACAAGTTTGTTCACCTACTAAAACAAGTACCCACCTTTTCCTCATTACAATGCACTTACTCCCTGAAAAGTGGCCTTGCAAAATGTGTTAATTTCTCTTTCCCGAATTTCTATGTTTACTCAAAAACCGTTACAATTACGAGAACTGTTCTAGCTCAGCCTGCTATCCCTGGGGTTTCTTGAACAACTGTTTCGCCTAGTTATCATGATAAGGTCATCCATGTAACTCAACATGTATCACCAATAGATCATTTCTCGAATCATAGGGTTTTGGAATTGCTGCAAATATAGCATTTTGACGTTTTATGTCTCTATATATATTGCCTGAGATAGGTTAAACCCGAAATCAATATAAAGAATAAAAATCATATATACGAGGGATCATCATAAAGTTCTCATCGCCGTTCTTATAATCATTCTATAAATGTTTTATTTTTTTGATGTACTCCTACGATATTTTTCTAGAATGTGGAACGTACAATGACTTATTTATCAACAAAAATATCGAGTATAACAGGCGTATATTGTATTACAATTGGTTGCCACCAAAAGTCAATCTTTAAAAATGTGTGATCACTTTAATAGATTCTATGCAGTTCACGGCAATTATGTAAAATGGCTCTATTTTTGTAGGTTTGGGGGCCGTACGGACCCTGTTCGAGGTCATGTGGCACGGGAGTAAGGCTAAGGCACAGAGCTTGTACCGGTGCAGAGCTGAACTTAAACAACGATAAATGTGTTGGCGGTACTAGGACTGAATTTGATACATGTAACACACAGGTAAATATAGACTATTTGATACTTGTAACATACAGACAAATCTTGACTATTTGATACTTGTAGCACACAGATAGAATATAGACTATTTGATACTTGTAACACACAGGTAAATCTAGACTATTTGATACTTGTAACACACAGATAAATATAGATCTTTCTTTTGACTATTCGAAACATGTGACACAAAGGTAAATTTTGACTAATTGATACATGTGACACACAGGTAAAACTGGACTATCTGTTACACGGAATACACAGTTGAATCTAGACTATTAAATTATTAATACATGCAACATGCAGGTAAATCTGGACTATTTTATACACGTAATACAAAGGTAAATCTAGACTACTGTATTTGAAACATGCGATACACAAGTAAATCGTGACTATTTGGAGACAATTACGATGAAGTTGTATGAAAATATTTTTGAGCATTTTACTAATAATCCTAAAATAAAATTAGCCAAGCAAAGCTTCATGAAAAGTAGGAAAATGATTTTTGTGTAGGATAATTTCATTTGCGCACATAGTGTCTAATTCCTATTCCAATGCTTTGTGAACTCTAATTGAAATTGACAATATCCACACTCTTACAAATCCTATGAGATGAAGGTCAGGGTGAACTTTTCAGCTCATATGTTTCCCAAAAAGTACCGAATAAACTGATATTTATCAAAAAACTAACATTTGTTTATATCTGAAACATCTTGTGGTATATATGAAACTAAAATATGTCCTTCTTCTACCTGCTCCTTACCAAAACGTTTTTATTCAACAGGGACGGACCTGGAAGTTGGCAGTTGGAGGGTGGATGCAAAATATGAAAATCTCTTATAGGCAATTTAAATGGCCAGAACTGGGACCCATTTTGGTTACAAAAAATCGTTCGGGCGCCCACTAATGTGGGAGGGGTAGGGTCTGGCTCCGAGTCTTCCTAGATCCGCCATTAACCATTTAATAGGCAGGAAATATCAACAAATATTAATGAGCAACTTAAACTCTACGATGATGTGTTTTGTTTCTTGCGGTCTGTGAAATAGTCCCATATTTATAACATGGGGAGTAGATTAAGTTGCTTCCCCTCTTCAAAAGTATTATGCTTTACACTGACGTAGCATATATAATGAGAGGGTGGCTTACTTCCCATGGTTTCAATATGTTTTTTTCAACACGAAGTTTATATTTATTTGACAGGTGTGCCCGCCTGATGCCGTGGATTTCAGACTCAAGCAATGCCGCTTGTTTGACAATACCAGTCATAGCAATGGCAATATATATACCTGGAGACCTTATAATGAAGGTAATCGTCTGCTCAAGATCTCCGAGTGGTCTCGCTTATTTTACTCCATTTCTATCTTAAACTCGATTGATCTTCCTCTTATACTAGGATTTTTAACAACTTTGGGTGTCAGTTCTAAATATGTAAACGTTATTCCTTGCTAGTTCATCCCGTTTCGATGGTATTTCATTTTAATGCCATGCCCACTTTAATTCTTTTCATGGGTAAACTAAAAATATGCTTCAAGGCCAACGTTTGTCCATTTATCAATCGCAACATCTCGTTTTTCATCATCAATTAATTTGAGTTAACGTTATGTTGGTGGAACTTCCACCCTGTTTACATTTTGAACTTGTAAACCTGTTCATTCATTCAAAGAAATTTTAGATTCAATGTGTCGATTCATGATGAACCAAATGGTTTATCTTCTGTTTATTTCTGGATAGATAGTAAACATAGAAACAAATATAAACGATGAGAACAATCAAGTATCTTTTGGCAAAGTTTGGCTTCAAGGATCTAGTAACAAAGAATTTTCGTACAATGAAGATTTTTGAATATACTTGCCCTTAGCTGAAAATTTGGGACAAAATCAAAATAAATAGTAAGTATAGAATTAGGTAATCATTTTCATTGTACTTGTTTGTTTGACAATATACAAGACAGTAGATGTGTTTTGCTTATCTCACCTTTACCTTTACATCGGCAATATTGTGAGTCATTTACCTTCTCCTATATAACCATATACCTATTGTCATAGGTAGGGCAAGACGAGCTCTGGAGCACGCATGCGCACTCGTGTGCCAGGCCAATGAGAATGCAGCCATCATCAACCAATTCTCACCGATGGTTCTTGATGGGACCCGCTGTGGCAATACAAACCAAGGAATATGTGTTCAAGGTGTATGCCGGGTTAGTCATAAAGTTCTTATTTTTTCAATTACAGCGAAAACTTTAACACTAAGGAGACATGCATGTGTGTGAACGCCCAGCTGTTTGTGGCTACCCAGGTATTCCGCCCTCCTACTAAACTTTCCAAACCTAGAGTTGACGGAGTTTATTAAATAGACTCGATAGATGTCTCCTTGATTTCATGACGGATTGACCAGTGGTCGCGGTCGGATGGGTGCCATATAAATCTTGTCATCAAAATTCCAGGAAAACCGCTTTGACACGCACGGAAAATTACAACGATAAAAATGCAACATTTTTACTACGTGTTGATAGATCGATGGAGATCGTTTTATATGCTGGGGCAGCAATATACAATTGACTAGATTAAGTACTATACATGATCATTACATTTTATAAAATCATTCCAGCAGCCATCTTTTGGGGAAAAGTGAAATTTCATGCAAAATTTAAAAACAATAACATAGACATCTATTGAGTATGTATTTGGTAAAAGAAGGAAACAAACAATACATTGTCGAGTGAGCATTGTTGGGCAAAATTCGGATTACTTTTGTAATAACAAATATTAATTTCAAGAAATAAAATAGCCACGTAGTTCTTTTTTTTAATCTGTCACTCATTATACTGAAAGAGGCTCTAAAGTGTATGCAGCGTTTCTTGATAATAAAATGGCCTTTGATCTTGTCTACAGGGTGGGGCTTTTTGTCAAGCTCTATCGGGCCGGTATATGTGGAAAATTATGGCGTTTGATCGTCGATAGCTATAGTAACACAAAAGCAAAGGTTATGTATGGTAAAACGACATCTCGGGAGTTCTATGTACACCAAGGAGTAGGACAAGGTCGTGTTTGTTCTGCTTTTTGGTTTCTAGTCTACATAAACGACTTGATAGATGAGATACATGCAATGCATTGTGGTTTAAGTATTAATGATGTAAAAATCCCTGTAATTCTAGTTGCCGATGATACTACCATTTTGTCACCCACTGTAGATGGCTTACAGAGCCTACTTAATGTTGTCTTTGATTTTAGCCAAAAGTGGCGTCTTGTGTATCATGCTGGGTCTAGCAACAAAAGCTCAGTTATTGTTTTTAATAGTAAAAACAATGTGCCCGAAATGCTAATACTTCCTTCAGCATTCTATGGGTGTGAGCTTTGGGGTAATATCATCAAATCTCAAAAGCTAGAAATTGAGAGAGTCCAGAGATATTTTGCCAAGCGTGCCCAAGGCCTTCCATGGAAAACACCATCAGTTGCAGCTATCGGGGCGCTTGGCCTAATAACAATGGAACAATATATTGAAAAAACAAAGCTCTTATTTTTAAACAGATTGATTAATTCATCTGAAAAATCTGTGCAGAGACATATATTTATATCAAGAATCAGCAGTTATATTGTGAGGATGTCATGTTCAAGGAAATCTGATGGTTTCATTCCAGATATTCAAAACATTTTGAGTAAATACCCGTATTTATTGGAAGACTTTGAAAGGTTTATTAGTCATGGTCAAAAAGTACCCAAAGATATGTGGAAATTTAGAATTAAATGTAACATTCAAGAGTCGGCAAATCAGTTGTATCAAAGTCAGGTTCACGAAGATGTTCGGCTCAAAAGATTTGCAAATATCCACACACAATTAGAACCGAGTATACGTTATGTGCTAGGAAAACAATACCCAGCTTTATTGTGGCCTTTGGCAAGCCTTCTTCAACTTGCACTAATTGAAGATCACCCAGTCACTGTTAAATGTATATTATGCCAGGGCGAATACAGAGATGTTGCAAAACATGTACTTTTGGAATGTTCAGGACTTGTGATTGAAAGAGATCGTCTTTTTGATAATATAACGAATGCATTAGACGTGAGCTCATCTTGTCAATTATTAAATGGCGATGAAGAAGTTTTAGTTGAAACTCTCCTAGGTTCAAATACTGACATTCAGTTAAATGAAAATGTATGTGAACAAATAATCATCTTGGTGGCAAAGTATGCATGCGGTAAAACATAGTCAAATTACTAATGTAAATATTATATTTGTTTTGTAAATAATTGTTTGTAAATAACTGCTTGTATAATTATTTGTAAAAAAAGCTCTTCTTCGAGAAGGAAATAAAGATAAACAAACATAGCATATTGCTCGCAATGTTCAAGTACATAAACATAAACATAACGTACATATAGAAGTTATGAAACTGATAGACGATGCCAGTTTATCTCCATCATTATTTAAAGCTTCCCATATTTTCAAAGATTCATCGAAATCCATCCATACAAAATGATCCATCGTATATTTATATTTGAATGATCAATTCATTGATTTTATATACTTTATCTATTTCAGAACCACTCCCAAGCCAATGCATTTTCCCAAACCAATGCATTTACTCAAACCAATGCATTTACTCAAGCCACGTTAACGGCTGATCAGGACTACAAGTTAACACTTAGAAGAAAAATTACCATGTCTGAAAAATTCCAACTTCATTTTGGTAGGTATGATTCTGAACAAATTGCCAGATAGAAATGCTGCATAAAATTAAAGATTTGTAGACCTATGAAAAGAGAAAAGACCTATGTAAGATCTGCTATGTAACAGGTTTTATTCTTAAAAGAAAGGGAAAACGGTGTCCCTTGTAAAATCCATTTTCAATGTCGTGAGCAATAGTCTTATAAGTATTTACATTGCCTTTTATTGATGACAAACGGTGTACTAATTACAAATACAATTGGTGATCTTCGTAAAACAAGACTAAGACAAACCAGTTGCTGTTGCGAAAATGTTTTAGTAAATCGAAAGCTTTTGTACAGGAGAAAAATCAAATACATTTTGATATCGCCCATTGTTCTTATATTGTGTTGCAATGCGCTTGGAAGTATAAGATGGTGGGTAAAAATAGGAAAATATTATTTTTAGGTTACAATGAAGTGCTGGACATTCCACAAGCTGCCAAAAATATACAACTACACACAATTGTATCATCGCAGATTATTTTAGGTGAGTAACGATACTTATAAGTTTACACTATTATTCCTTCTAGAACATATCGGAAAATAAGATGATTAAGTTGGTTGCAAGTTGGTTACGTCAAACTGCCCAAAACTAACCAAGACCAACCAGATTATACAGTACAGTACAGTACAGTACTGTACAGTACCGTACAGTACAGTATAATACAGTACAGTGCAATATCCGTTTCTTCTTATTTCAGCCCTATCACAAGGAGATATAGCTTTCTTTTTGACGAAAAATATACCGACGGGTTCGCCACAAACACCCGATTTGATTCATATTGGCGGTTCCATTTTCACATGGAGTCTACATTCCAACAACCTTTCTATAGCATGTGCTGGTCCTTTGAACTCTACAGTTCACGTTACGGTAAGTGTGTCATAGGTTTGTTGTATTTCACTCCTTAATATCTAATCATCATCATTTACTCAGACATAAATGTATGGAAAAAACAGATTTAGGCAGCCGACGAGTAAACCTATTGTTTTCGTGAATGTTAGCAGATACTAGAATAATACACTAAATATATCAAATTGCAATTAACGCTGTGATGAATGCTTTCACACACTTTAAACTACCATTTTAGATTTTATGTAAGTCACCCCAAGTAGATCATCGTGTGAATGTGACATACTCATTGCCAGAAACAGTAACAGAACACATAGCAACACCAACTTATAATATTAAACCACCTGAGACAGCAGCAGCTGATGACAAACTTGCCAAAGAAATTGATCCAACTACTGCATCGGGTAACGCTGAAATAGAACACGATAATGAAATACATGACCAAATAGACGATATAGGATTACGCTTCCCATCAACAAAATTGATTCCAAATTTATTAAGGGTTAATCCCGTCCACACAATGGGCAGATTCACAAACGCTGACCCAGTTAGTTTCATCAAAGGTGAAAAGGCTAACGAACTTAATCCACACAAACAAGCCAAAGACTATTCCAATACAGTTAAACCTCCACGTGCTAAAGGCAACCTCAACACGGGGACAACGTTAATGAGCGACGCATCTTACGATCACTACAAGAACATAAAGACTCCCGCAATGCCACAAGGCGTGAGGAAGATTATAGTGTTACAAAAACCTGGGGGACAAGCAACAACAGTTGCAAATAAAGTGATAAGATTTCTACCTGAAGATACAACTCGTAAGTGTCGACCTTTACCCAAGCTTACACAAAATGGATGCATATTCAATTAAAATGGAATATATTGGTCTACTTACTCACTAAACTAAAATGTTAAAAGTAGTATTTAATTGACAATAAGATAGCCTTTAAATCAACAATGATTACAAACTGACACAAACTTTGAAATATGATGTTTAATAGTTGGTCCTATATCTTTCTCAAGCAGGAATCAATTCAAAATTTCAATCATGATGATTTAAATATGTCAGTTTTTTCTTTATACTCTTTGGAATTCTACAACATCTTGAACGTTTGTCACTTCTCGGTTTTATAAGAGATGTGACATCATGAAGTAAAGCCATTGTTTATTGTTAATTGTTTCATTTCCTCTGTAGAAGAGTTGCTGTAAACTGCAGTTTTGTTTTTGTGACATTCATTGTATTACTGTTTAGATAACTCAAGAGCTAGCACATCCAGATTCACGTTAACATCGAAACCATACACAAAAACAACAAGTGATACTGAACAGCGAAGTGATAATGACCTAACGTCGTTACTGGAAGGTCAAGATGAAGATGTTTATAGATGGAGGAGAGACATTGAAGGGTTCTGTAGTTCTTCTTGCGATTCAGGTCGGTGTTTATAGCGTGCATATGGAAATTCAATATGTAACAAAAACAGAAAGCCACATTCAGCTGATACTCGTCACATCGTCCCGTCTCACTAGAAACATCTCATGGTTGAGGAGAAAGGGGGTCGAGAAAAATGAAACGTTAAGATTTATCATAATGGGTATCTCATTGAAGTACATGATCCACAATTAAATCTACACATCCAATAGAAAGTAAAACTAATTCAATAGTGTACTTGGCCCTTGCCAGTTTTCAAGTTTTCAAGTATTTAGTAGTCAAAACTAAAAAAGCTTATATGTTATTGTTTAATAGGTGTGAAAGTCCCATACGTAATTTGTGAGGACCGTTATGGCAACAAAGTTGACAATTCGTTTTGTGATCCATCACGTCGTCCATTACCCACCAAACAAGTATGTAATGGTGTACCATGTAAACCCAGGTACGTAGCCATCCTCTTTTCCCCCCTAACAACAAAAATAGAAGTAAAAGGCTTAAGTGATAATGTGTGAATTTATTTGGGCATTATATCTTTCTTCAAGTACTTTAGAGATCAAATGGTGATCTAATGACTACTCCTCGGAGTCGGGGATATTCCCAATATCATAATTACCTGTGTTATGACTAACATATACCTGTGACAAATCATTTTCTAATGTTTTCTTTGTATAAATATATAAATAAATTTAAAAAAAATCTTTTCTGCAGGTGGGAAACTGGAGCATGGGGACCCTGTTCTGCGACGTGTGACAAAGGTCTGCAAAACCGTCCAGTTCATTGTTGGTTGATCATAGCACCAGGTATGCGCAGTTCCCTGCATGACGTCATGTGTGATTCCGCAGAGAAACCCTCTACTGAACGCCAATGCCAGGTCCTGCCTTGCACCCCTACTTGGTTCATATCCGAGTGGAGTGAGGTGAGTGTTGGTTATTTAGGCATAGAAAACTTGGAGACGATAAGTAATAGATTGAGTTAATAGCTGACCTACTTCTTTTGCTACAACAGCACATTTGCAACATATATTATCTCTCAATACTACACATCGATGTGATGTTTTGATTAGCATTCGCATGTTCCTTCAATATTTCCAGTGTTCAACAGATTGTGGCCCCGGATACAAGAGACGCACGGTGTGGTGTTCAGGAGAGATTTGCACTGGGAAACGGCCCAAGGCGCATGGACATTGTCTTGGGAAGAAGTGTGAGGGGGTTCAATGGTCACCAGGCCCATGGGAAAAGGTTTTTAATTTTTTTTACCATATCGTATTGTATCCCATTTGGTTTTATCCCCCTGTATATACTTCATACAGTTGTATAATTCGCCTGTATGACAATACTATGAATCCAAAAGCCGCACTCATTCATCGTATACAGAAACAACTTAATCTTCTCTAAACAATCTTTCAATATCGTAAACTCGTGTAATTTTTATTATTTCGGAAAAGTCGACCATCAACGTTTGTTTTCCAGTGTGATGGGAAATGTGGAAAGGGATTTAGACACAGAGGACTACATTGTACCACAATTGGGGGCAGACTGCTGAATGAAAGAAGGTGTCCAAGTAATGAGAAACCATTGACAATCGAGGCGTGTTCCACGACGTCTGCTTCATGTCCAGATGCATTATGGGTACCACAGGAATGGGGTGCGGTAAGTATGAGCGGCAATTGATAAATATTCAATGTTTTCAGAATTTAAACAATAAATTAATATATTGTATCTTCGATAAAACCTCTTTGCAGCTGTATATTGGGTCAGAAAGCAGGGAAATTATAACTAAATAAATCACTGATTTTTTGATATGTGTCTTTTGATTCTAGTGTTCTGTCTCATGTGGCGATGGTGTTACAACCAGGAAAGTGATATGCAGCAGAGTTGCAAACGATACATTCGAAGTCCTTGACAAAGAAGAGTGCAATATTGTGGACAGACCTTCAAACATTGCACGATGTCGCCAGCAGCCATGCGCACCAGGATGGGCAACGACATCTTTTGATGACGTAAGAATTTAAAACATAATATGTACACATAGTAATACATTACTCGTATTAAAATTGTAATTGTAAGAGATCCGCCCAAATGGTAGACTTTTAGTTTATATATTTCATTTGACACAATGTTATGTTCAAAAACTGAAAAAGACGATCTTGTACTGAAGTACTACTTTTATTCCACTAGTGTCCAAAGGATTGCGGATCAGAGGTTAAATACGCAATGCGTTACGCAGTGTGCTTACAAAATGACGTCATATCCACGAGATGCAAGCCCAATACCCAACCACGTATCTACGAGAAATGCCCCGTTAACAAATGCAAAGAGGGTAGGGAATTATTAGAACGTATCTGTAGTTCATCACAAATATTTGAAAAATGAAACAAAAGTGAAATTTATTTAATACAAGAAGCCAAACAATATGCCAGAACTATGCATTGTAACAAAATTCAACACAAAGCAAAGCAACCATAGTATCGTACATGTAACGTAACAGAACGAATTGATTGAAACGATTGAAACGCTCTTTACAGTGTATACGCATCGTGAGATATCACGGCTTTCTCTCAGTGTCCTTCTTGTGCATAGCAGAGATGGTCTGAGTATCAGAATGGTGTATACGGGGCTTAATGTAATGTTATATTTGATAATTTCAGTATGTGAGGACCTTCCAGGAAATAAGTGCAAATTGGTATCTGAACTAAACCTCTGTGCCGTATATGGGAAGAAATGCTGCAAATCCTGCTCAAGATCCTTGAAAAGGCTCCAATAAGTTAAACATATACTTTGGATTGGCCCAGTACATTGGTTCCGCTACGATCTTTGCCTGTCTTCAATGGATTGAGAAGGGAAGACAAAGTAAAATAGTGTATACGAAATAATATCACTATAGGGATGATGGTCCCCTGTCTATATGGTCCATACTTGCCGCAATTGAGTATAAACTAATGAAGGAAGGACTTAGATGTCACTTTATCAATCAACGGAGAAGGGGGGGGGGCTATATTTGACCAAATTACTTTAACACTGGTGATCTCTGCAACATTATATATATTATTTATACTTGCATTTAAATACGTGACATAATGTTTTGTAAAAAAAATGTTATTTGTATTTAGATATATCTCACAATGTAACAGTACGCGACTTTACTAACATGTGACGTTTTCACGTCCGATATATGACAACATAACGATAGACGCATACACAATAAGGGGGTTTAAGCTAGGACACTTTTGAGACTTTGTAGCCTACTCAAACAGGTAGAATCATGGTTCTCCTTGGATAAGATTCCCCTGCCTGACTTAATATAAAGGTATGAGAGAACAATATAATTGTAATAAGGTCACTGGAGAAAAAATCGAGAGGGAGAAGGGCCCAGACAGTAATGCAAGGGCGTCATACCATTACGTTCACGTTCTCTTGGAAAAAATAGCGTATCTTCCTTAATATTGTTGTATAACATCTATCGCTTATACAAAAATACAGTACTCGACAAAGCTAACCTGACAGGTCGGTTTGACATGCTATGATATATAAAAAATATAGTCATGCATTTAACGAAATCTGTGATATTTATGAAAATGACCAGCTATACTATATTGTGCGTCTTATTTATTATAAATATATGTGATTCTTTAGATGTATACGCCCCATCCATGCCATCATAAGTGTAGAATTTTCGTGATCATGCCATAATTTGGACCTTACTACACATACGAATGTCAAATCCCATCAAAACTATTCCAACCTAAGTTGAAATTGTTGACTTGACTTTCATTTGAAAGATCCTAATGCCCGAGTCGCTTTTGCCCCGATTCATCGGCCTGCGTATTTTCAAAATTGTAATTCCGTTTTGAACAAAACACCCAAATCGGCTGGGCGCCGACCGATGAATCGGAATTGATGTGACTCAAGCATAACGCCAACGAAATACTATGGGTTCACTGCAAAGCCTTAGATAATTTTGTATCCATTAAAGAATCGATTTCAAACTTATGTAGGGGAGTGTAGTCTATCAAACAACTAATAGAATTAACAAAAAACAATATTTTGACTAATAAACTACTAATAAACTTACATGTATGACTGATGATAAATGAGTTTTTGCAATCTGCGAAATTTATCTTTTATTGTCTAAAATTGAGTTAACACAACTAAAAAGACTTGTACATGGACAGATGCTATTTGTCATTGAGAATTCGTGTTGAACATCATATATGTACATGCACATATGCTAGAATGTATATATTGTTACTATAGAATAAATACTTGTACACTATCCCAAAGTATACTTGGTTTGGTTTGTAATTGCCTTTACACCCAACATAACTATGCGGATATCAGAAAACAAACTGATAACGTATCACTGTTCAAATGACAATGGATTATGAAGTCCAGTGATGTAGTTGTACTATTAAAGTCCTAGAGGGGCGGATCATTGACTGACCCTCAGACAATCTGACCCCAGATTGATACACTTTTTATGGAGAATCAAAAAAGTAAATCCTCCCGCAATAATTGTGTGGTAATTTATATTTATATTTCTGCATATACTTTTGTATGGTTTTCACACCACATACCGTTTTGTTATAAATAGGGGTCTATGTCAAGTCCGTGTTCTTCCCACCTTGGTCAAGCCCGAATATTAATTAATAAGTGGGTAGATAACTATACGACATTGACCAAATGTAATTAATTATATTGACCATTGACAGCTAGGGTTCAGAAATTTGCCGGAGAATAAGGATTGAATATACATTTCTAGGATCTAGTTTGGTAAGTTTGGTATTTAAAAAAATAGTTTAATATATACAAGAGGGGATGGAGGTTGTATCGTTTCCTTGAAGGCTAGATTATTGTTTGGTGAAATAGTATTGTTCACTTTTCTAGAGCTGACAAGTAAAAGTATATCCCGAAATTGTTAACCGAGACCATTGTGTGGAGGAATATCATTTTAAAAATTAAACAATCCAAAAAATAAATTAATTTTGTTGACAGTCCTTGACCAATTAGGATCGAGTATTTCAAAACGTACTAAGACGTACTATTAATGTATAAACTGAAAATAACTTGGTTTTCTATACTATCTTGGAATTTAATCAAATATTAACTTTATTTCCTGGTTATAATTAGTGCATTTTTAGGAAACTTAGATACTATACGGGAAACAGGAAAGTAATGTATCTGAGATCACCATGATGAAACACAGTTAAGTGATCGTAACAGTAGCCTAGTGATGGATCCTGTTTTAATCCAAAATTAGAAAACCATATAGCAAATTCTCAAATTATACAGTTTTAATGTTATAAGATCCCTACTGTAACTCAATAATACAAAGCCTGTTAATTTCGTAATTTCTTTACATGACTGGAACTCTGGATGGTATGACTACATCATGATGTGTATGACCAGTTCTGTGTGGACACCACAAGTGCTACATGTATATCTGGAAAAAACACAAATCACAAGATTATGACAGTCTTATGACACATGGCATACGTTATTTTTTGAGTTGGAATCAATATTTACCTAAACGAAAAGCTGCCAAGTCAAGTTGAAACAGGAACATGGAGTGTTGGAATAAAAAACGCATATTGTTAGAGCGATAGGTGTCATTCTCTCATTTGTTTAAATATATTACTCATGTTGTTTTGGTCAAACCCGTGCTCTTCACTCCTCTTTTTCGTCATCGTTGAGCCATCTTTTCTGAGTATAGACATTTAATACTTCAGCTTTTGTCCCAAAAGTACTCCAGGTCTCAACCACGCCATATCACAATTGAAGATGAGTAGCGTAAAGAAATTCAGAGATGAGATGCTCACTGCCCATAACCTGTACAGGAAAAAGCACCATTCTCCATCAATGAAGCTGAATGATGATCTCTGTAAACATGCACAGAAATATGCTGATTATTTGGGCAAACAGAACAAATTTGAACACAGTTCAGATGCATTCAAAGGACAACCAGTTGGGGAGAACCTGGCGATGAAATGGTCTTCTGGGAACGAAGAATATTCAGGTAGTTCATTAGTTTATGTATTCATATCTGTAGGTTTAGTCAGACACATTTGGGAGAATTTGAACGCAAACGTGAAAATTTTACCCCATGAATATCGTCCCCGTCTCGATTTTGACTTGAACAATTTCCCAAGATAAGACACAAACATACAAAGTGTCCTTGTGGCATACCATTTCCAAAATTGGTTCTTGAAAATATAGTCAAGTAAGGCATATCACGTAAGGTGAAGAGCGATGAATAGCATATCCTATGCCTTCCTATTGAATGACCAATATATTTTTATTATTTTCTAGGTATTGATGCAACTGATCAGTGGTATAGTGAAATCTCAAAATATGACTTCAAAACAACCCAGAGGCCACCACAAGGAACAGGTAAATTTACTAAATACTGCAGTAACAAGTCATGTTTTAGAGGTTTAAAAACTGAAACTACTTCACCTATAGTAAAATTGTTAGGAACGTCGCTTTCATTTAGTTTCTGTTCCGAGCTTAACTTTATTCTTGAATTCGTTTTCAACATCAAAATACTTTTCAGTAGATGGGTCAAGTCTTCAACATCCTTTTTTTAGGTCATTTCACTCAAGTTGTGTGGAGGTCATCCGTCGAACTCGGAGTTGGAAGAGCCAGAACAAAGGATGGTAAATGGATAGCTGTTGCTAACTACGCACCAGCTGGTAACTATATTGGACAATTTGCTGAAAATGTTCTTCCGCTAGACGGCTCTGCTCCACCTTATGTGCCAAAATCATCATCCGGGTCTTCGTCCGGAAGGCCGTCTGCAAACGGGAATGGTAAGTTTTTACTTGCTTGAATAAACGCATTTGCATATGTCCAATTTAGTGATGATGAATATATGGGAACAACGAGCAGCTTTTACCATAACCAAGAAGCTTATGATAGAAGCATTTTTGAATATTGATGGGTGGTTATCACTGCAATATTTCAACATTGGTTCAAGTTGGGCGGTTGTAGGTGTAAGGCGTACATGTATTCTGCGGTTGTGGGAGTAGTGTCCGCAACATGTGTTGTATTGTCAAGATTTATTTTAACACACTTCACGTACACAATCAGTGTTGACCTAGTCAAGGGTTATGTTCTAGGAGGGACAGATATTTGTTGTATATTGAGGGTTAAACCTATAATTTGCCAAAGATCATATGATTCATATCTCTAAGTGCCTTCATTTATGTATTGGAGATAGGATAAGTAAATAATATCGAGAGGAGACAATATTTAAGATGAGGAATGGCGTTCTATACATCGTGATAACAAGTACAGTCGATCTATTGACATTGATGTTTCTATATGAGTATGGTGGTCCCAAATGGTCACGTTTGTCATTAACAATTCGTTTACAATTTATGGCATGATGGTACTTGCAAATCTCCTTGGTTCCAGCTAGTTCTGCCCAGTCACTTTTTTACAATCAAAATGTACTACACTTACTAGTCTTCTACAGAACATTATTTTGTTGAGGAATCTCTATATTGTTTTTATTTTCAAAGACAAAACAATATATGAGTATGTCATGATGCATTGCGTTGGTGGAACTGACACATTTCTATTCGCCAATGAAGTCGAATCTAACTTGAACTGATTCATTCAAGATGAGATTATGCTTATATTTTCTTGAATCTATATATTGATTAAAATGTTTTTTTCTTGAAATAAATGCTCCATTGATCCTTAATAATATAGCTTCAACTTTGAATGACTAATTGATTGCTAATGTGGCATTCAATTCATTAAAAAAAAGAAGGCCAAATACTCCAGCTGATGCCCACTTATTAAACAATAGCAATAATCAAATGTCAGCTCAATTAATTTGGAGGTCAGGCGCCCATTGATTAAACGTCATGTCAGTCAAATTTGAAATGCGAAAGAAAGATTGAATACAAAAATACTAAAACAAATTCTTGTGTTAAATTGTATAGAAACATACTAAACATTAGGAGTTCTCGTTCGAGTACGGGGATTCTTAAATAGATGGGAATGTGTCCGCCGGATTTGACTACTATGAATGTTTTAGTCCAGGGTTGTATGACACCATGCTTATTCCACTCATTTTCTCTCTGATATTTGAAAACAGCACATTCTCTAGCACTTCTATGCTATTAGAGCGTCAAGTACAGTGCAGATCTTTCAAATGCATTTCCTTTTACAATAAAACACTCATTTCACTCATAGGTGTCACGACAAATCATAGCCCTATACAATTCATGTTATTGATTTCTTTGAGATCCAATTGGATCACCACACACATAGGAATCTATATATATTTGAAGACCATCTACTTAGTATTGATTTAATAAGATAGGATTTGGATATCAAGTTGAAGGTAAGTAAGTCAAGACGAGTGGAGGAATAATGGAACATAATGAGTTTTTGGACTTCTAAAATAACATTTTTTCATTTCTGTTATCTGTTAGACACCATTTTTTTTATAATGATTTGTTTCTCAAGCTGGCTTGACACTTGACAATAAAGTGAGTTGCACCGGTCATCTATTTCGTTATGCGATGCATTTCTGTACCATGAACGATTGCAGTATATTAGAACTATATAGTGGAACGTAATAATGTTATTCCTGCATTCGTGCCAGATGTCAGTTTTCATATAAATGTAATAACATGTATTAGTATATGGCACCAGTATGCCGCTATTTTATTCATATTTCTTATCATGTAATATTAATTTACTGTACCTTTGAGATATATTTTCCGATCAAAAATCACAAGAGGCTACTTTACGAAAACTAATTCACACAAGACCCGATTAACCATAGCATCTGATACACCATGGCTAACAATGGCAAAGCTGCTCTCTGCATCAACACTGCAACCATAGATTATATCACCATTTATAAGAAATAAATTTCACTCATATTATTACATTGCAAAATACAAGGGTTGTGCACATACAAATGTAATCTATTATTACTCTACAGAGATGGTTTGTAGATCAATATTCAGACCAATTTGACTGCAACAGTTCTCGACTAGTGCAGCAATGGTCATTTATTGTATTGATTGGAGCTGACCTTTGTATTAGAGGGTCGACCTATTTTCACTTCATTATGAATTAATATGAGTCTTGTAATGTTGTCTTGCCTAGTTCTTGAAATGATACAAAATCTGGCCAGTCCATTTTCGCAATGTTTATGTTCGCTCAATCTACCATTTTGTGTTAAAGGTAGAGAGAAATTGAACTAGTATAAAGATTAATTTAATGAAAGTATTTACTTTAAACTGGTTTCAATTAATTTGTTTCATTTGGAAATAGACGTTTTATAAAATGTCACAATTTTGTATTCTGATACATAATTGAGGGCTAGAATTTAGGAATTGGCCTTGATTTACTTTGTTGACTTTTATTTGGATTCGAAAATAATATGTTTACATAATCGAATTAATAGTTTGGACATATATGTTCTACCAAGAGCATGTTACGTCGAGGATATTGTTGAATGTATGTCAAGTGGTCTTTTGATAAGGCAGTGAAATTGATTAAATTATATTGTATTATGTATAACAAGCATCTAATCTCAATTTTTATCGTTTAATATTGCTTTATTGTAAGCGAATTGGAGCAAAGTATAGAATACAGTCAAAAAAAGAATTGGGCCTGTCACTAACCATGAACAATCAGGGTGTGTTTTGGACATCATTTAGTTACCATAGCAACCAGGTTGCATCAGTTACAAATTAAATGATCAACTTAGAATAACGCACGCTAGCTTTATAATGCAAAAGGAAACAAACGTTAAGTTCAATAATTGCATCAAACATTATTCACATTTACGAATGCATATTGAAGCACATGTATCATTGGTAACAGATAATTATTAATACATTGCAGCAACAGTTGTTCATAATGTAACCGATATAAATGAAAAGTTCGATTCAACAACAATAGAGAAACTCGAAGTACATAATTCTATGTTATATAATAAAAATCCTGTTTCACCGATCACTTAATGGTGTAGAATTTATTGGCTAGCACTAATACCATAACAGATCATTACAATAGTTCAACTAAAGTGAAAGGAATATTGTTCAGTAGTAGTGCGTCCGCGTACACTGCGTTCAAGCTATTGCCATTAATTCTCGGTAAACTCAGCTATGAATTCACATATAGGTAGATGTTAATTATATGTGTTCCAGACCCAAGCATGTCAGGCACTACTACGAAGAATACTCAGGTTAAAATAGAAGGGGGACCTGGAGGCTATAAGAAGATCATAACTGAGACGGTCACCAAGCCCACTGGTGAGAAGTCCGTTACAACACGTACAATCACAGCTGCCACGAGGGAGGAGCTCGATAAAATCGATGTAAGTGTTTTATATGTCTCTGGACTATGTAAGATGACTAATATGAAGGACACACGAGGGATGTTCCAGCAAAACAAGAAGGAGTAAACATCCAAAATGTTTAAATATAACATGATTGCCCAAATCTTGACTCGTGCCTCTGAAGTACATTTTATATATAGTTTTACTTTCTTGATATAATATTACCTGACAAGTACTACCTCCTTAATTAAGGAGAGTCAAGCATAACATTAACATAAACTCCGATGACTAACATTTTTATTGCAATGCTGATTTGATTTTAATCAATGATCAAAGAGAGTGTAATTCTATGAACGATCAAATTATAAAGTACAGGGAAGGTTATTGCGTGCATATATCAATGTTTACTTTGGTCATTTTCCGTTTCGACACAACTACGAGTAGTTTCTATGCTGTCATAAAATGTTTTATACATGGTTTATTATCATTTTTTGTAACCCATACTTGGTAATTGATTTTCCACCAACCCTCAAATTCATAAAAGTTCAAGTATCTTACTTTTTATCTTTACTCCGGCGATATGTCACCAATAAAGTTATTTAAACATACCTTTATCTGTTTCTCGATGTACCTGTGTACTTTAATGCAACATGCCACTGACTGTAGGCAATAATCCTCATCCAGACCCCAAATCCACAGAACATTTACAACTGATTCACAAATTGATCTAAACGTATTCGAATACATAACAAGGAGTGGATTTGTAACACAGAAATGATTGCATTATTACAGGACAACTTACCAGCAGCCATGGGAGGGGTATCCCTAAATTCCACCGCCCCACCAGCAAAGAAACCACAAAGCATGAAGGATTTTATCGACGATGTCGTAAAATCACACAATAGCTATAGAAAGAAGCATGGAGTTTCGTCACTCAAGCACAACAAGTCAATGAGTGAGCATGCGCAGAACTGGGCTGAGCATTTGATAGCATCAGATACATTCCAGCACAACCAAGGAACATTTAAAGGCGAAAAACTAGGAGAGAATATCGGAAATAAATGGTCGTCATACGGCGCAGATTACACAGGTAAATGATGTCTGAGATTTGATCGTGCTTATAGAAACAGAAAAATACAAGGCTGAGCTTGTACATTTTCACGCATCTTGAACCGTCAGTGTATTGTGATTAACATATATATTTCTGTCTAAAACATACGTTTGTCATGTAATGACTTGCCTCACTGGGAGGGTCTTTAAAATGTACTTTACTTGTAAGGTCAACGCACTATCTCTATTATTTGCTTTGCAGTGTTTTTATGATATGGTCTTGAAATGTTCACTTTCAACATATTATCTAAGAACCAAAGACAAAGAATTAAATTCGCTTTACTTACTTCACATTATTGTAAGCACATGTGACAAAAGGGAAAGGAGCAAAGAGCACAACAAAACAACAAGAACGAGAAACAATTAAGAGCACAACTAATGACAAGGAAACAAGCCCAAACAACCCAATCTAAAATACACCGAAAAAACACAATTTTTAACACCCCCTCCCCAAATGTTCATCAATCAGAGTCACAATCCAAAAATGCTATATCTTATTCTTACTATTTGCAGGCGAGGAGGTGACCAAACAATGGTATGACGAGGAGCCAAAGTTTACATATGGTGCCGAACCTTCTGTCCTCAGTGCAGGACACTTTTCACAGGTACACTAGCAGTATGATGCATTTAGTGTACATTGTACAATGCCATAGTATCATGTAATGTGAAAAGAGTGATTCATATTGTTTAGTTACTGAGTACTGAGTATGACACTGAGTATGTATGAAACAGCTACCTCTTCAGTTACAAATTATATCATAGTACGAAAATCTTGCATATAGCTGGACATTAAATTCATCATTCTTTTTCAATCAAGTTTTTATGTTGTTTAAATCTTTTGTTTTCAGGTGATATGGAAGGGAAGCAAGGAGATCGGAGTTGGTAAAGCAAAGTCGGACAGTGGCAAAGTTATTGTCGTTTGTAATTATAAACCTGCTGGCAATATGGCTGGTTCATTTAGCGCTAATTGTCCACCCCCAAAGAAATAGATACCAGTATTATAAAAGTGCAGTGTGCATTAGCCTGCTTTAATAGTAAGAGAGACATGAACAAGTTCACCTCGCATTTAAGGTAAAAATACGTGACAATATGCAGATATATCGGGCAATACAGCGCCCCCTGTTCACGTAAACAGTACATGGCACGCAACGTGTAAAGGAGGATATATAAAATAATGTACATTGATAGATGGCGTAATAGGCGTCGCTCCCAGCTGCGCAGTGGAGTTTTTCCTGCATTCCTTAGTTTCTAAATAAGACTTTTAAATTGATCTCTGCGCTTCCATATCATGAAACGTCTCCACTTGCAACATCAGTCAGATCAGTTCATCAACAGAACATGTATTGATTATAATCTGTATCTGTTTTATTTCATTCACAATATATGTAACATGTATTACATCTTTTTACATCATGGTCAATTTGGCAAACATATTGTCTTACGTAAACAACATCATTTTTCACATTTATATCTAGCTACGGGATTATATAATATTGTGGCGACAACTTTGTTCAGAATGCATTCTACAGATATATTAATATCAAGATAAATTTTATTAATTATTATACAAAAATTTGTAATTTTTTCAAATTAATCTTTTTGTGTGTCAATTTCAATGTTTGTCTTTTTAAATCATATGTCTTAGTTCAATACTTTTAAAAGGATTTGTATGAAATAAATAACAACGTAATTTTTCTATGTTGGTATGTCGGATGTTTTATATAATGCAATGTTGAATATATAATACTGCTGTTAGTAGTAATGGTACTTCATCATTGCAATATATCAAATATATGGTACTGTTCGAACCATTATAAACACTGTTAATTACTACTATATACATAAATATAATACAAAATATGTCAATAAATAATGAGTTCATCTCGAGTGCAATTGAAATAATTTTGTTAAGTTGCAAACCTATTTAGTCTAATTAAGCTTTGTGGGGATTATGTTATCCTTTGTCTGTTATTTGAAAATGGGGTCCGAAAATTAGTCAATAACTAGCTTGCGTGTTTGTGTTTCCCGCAAATTACTACTACCCCTGCGCATTTTGACTTATATACGATTTACTCTTCCTAGAGCTGCATTTATTCATAAATATTACGTTACATTTACACCTTTTTACATACAATATGTACAGATTGTATACGCTGACAATATTTACAAGTTGTGTGAAGCGGTGGTTTGAATGTGTGGCATTTGCTACAAGTCGATGAGAATCTAAGGTAAGGTCATTTTGAGATGCAAAATAGCCTACAGGTGATCAGAATTCAGGAAAGATTGAAAGCATTAATGTCATTTACAAGTGACATCTATTATTCAATCATCATGTAATTTTGGCGTCCCTTTCTTCATCGTGTTATCAAGTTTGATCATTCGACATCTTTCAACTCATCTTTCATCAAAAATGAAAACCAAAAATGACACAAATCGTTAGTAATAATGGCATAGATATAAAGCATTTAAAACAAAGACAACATATTAATCTACGATTTCGATTTACTTGTAGATAGTATGAAAATATGAACATAGTAAACATAGTACTATCATATTATGTACACGTTGTTAGATATAATGAATTCAAATATGTACAACTATCTATTTGTTATATTATATTAAATATTCAGTTTTTGTATGTCAAATGCTGGTCAAAGACCAATTTACACTACCTATCAACATTAACCTCGCAAAGTTTAAGTCTAACACATGGATTTGGTTATTTTCAACACTGTACACCGTCATTTTGTTATAACGACGTCAACTGGTCTGCTTGCCACAGTGTAAGGTTTGCAGTGATGGGCACTGTACTGTTTAATGACCATGTACCAAGTTCTTCATTCATTATGGCACCGTCAGAAAATATAGCTCTGCATCGTGTACCATGTACAATTTACCATATAACTGGTACCATGTACCTTGCCAGTGTTTCTTTCGCTGCACGTTATGTGTATGATGGTTCATATCATGAGGTATCCTATCTGTTGTATATGAAAATCATTACTACGTGATTGTTGATAATGTGTTTTACATAGATGCATTGTATGTCTATTGTACGTTATGCTAATACTCATATTTTGATTTCTCAAAGTTCAAGGTCAAGTTGGTCAGGTTCATTTATATCAGTATTATCCGGACAAAGAAGATTCTTAAATTACTGCACAATTTGAAGATGTATATTTTACCTATACGTCTTCAACCATACCCTAATAATTTCACCTACCATCAAAAAACTGTGACGTTTCTTTCTGGGTACGAGAATGTACATCGTGTTAAAATATCCCATGGTATATATTGCTGTTTCCCGACACGGGGCTAAACTATCTTACCCTATGGCATCTTCTGAGTCATCAATGTCTTCAGATAGTTCATGAGATTCTTTCTTTGCCTTAACATTGGGCTTTCTATATCACTGTTGCCATAGGACAATGGTTTGATCTTTTCCCATATAGTGTGTCCTTGTGTGTCTATTGTGGTTGACCAACAAGTGTGTTTCGATGATAATATTATTGAGTATATCCTTGTTGTTATGGTGATTACGGATAGACCATGACCTCACATAGAACGGCACTGAATAACCGGCTCCATCTATTGGGTGCCCCCCATGCCTCAATATACACATAGCGTCCCTTCATGCGTTTCGAGCACTCAATGTGCAGCGATGGTTGAAACAAAGCATTGTTCAGTCTTGAAATAAATCCACACATGTTGGATGGGTTATCTACTCTGTCTTTACCAGCTTTATTATCTACGTAAGCCACTATTTTATCCAAATTGTACATGTATTCTCTGTAGTTCTTTTGTGCCTCTGAAAAGTACATAAATAAGATGAAATAAGTGGAAACAGCCAACTTGATCCAGAACTGTCAATACACAATACACATGCAACCAAGGGATTCCAAACATTTATTAACTATTGGTCCAAAAGACGAATGTCTATATCCAGCTAACAGTGTTACAATAGATATCATCTATGACAAGTAGATACACACACAACACAAAATCTAGAAGAAAAGGGTCCAACAAATGAATACTATACTTCACATTCAGATATGACGAGACATGTGCATTTAACGTATACTAATCAACAAGGAAGTGTAGATATGTTGCATTGTAAAAAACATTTCTTGCAGAGTCCCATTAAGGTAGACCAAGGGCCATGGAGTTTAAAATTGTTTGCGCATGAATGCCCACTCCTCGAGATTAGAGCAACCGACTCCAGTCACTTTCCGAACAAAATTCTCTGCGTTAAAAGGATGCGTAAGGCTAGGTATTCTTTGTACTGTGGGTGTAAATATGACATGAGACACAATCTCTGTCTATCTTAAGGAGACTCGCAAGCGAATATTGCTTACAATGCCCATAAAGTGAGTGCTTTTTAGAGCAAGCTGGAAACATACCTTGGCCTTTACCTTGCCATGTTACAATCATTATGCCGGAGATGTCAGTTTTCTTGCCCAGATCAACCATCCATACAGGTTTCTCAACGTAGAAGTTATCCAGGATGGTACAGCTATGAAGGGAGGCCTCCGTCTCGCCATCTACGGCTCTTCCAGCGTGTCCATGCATCCAGTAATTCCGGTGTATGTTCCTCTTGGCGGGCATGCGTCGCTTGTTGTTGATCCATGATTCCTTGTTATATGCCATGTTCTCAACTGGAATTATTATAGTTCTATCATATCGTATCGTATCATGTCATGTAATATTATATCATATCATGCCGTGTCATATTATATCATAATTCATAGTGAGAGTTTTAATCATGCGGTAATGGTTGTATTTTTCATCAAACATGGCCGTGCGATATCACAATTATCACTTGGTTGGATAGGTAAGTACTAGTATTTGAAATTGTGATCGCTAAAATACTCGCATAAATGCTCACTGATCATATCATTTTCATCTACTTGTTTACTCACTTGCACACTCACTCAAATATCGATATTCACTCGTGGATAAAAATAGTATAAGAGTGAACCCTTTGATATAATATACAAGGAAACATTGAATTCCAAAATATGTTAAATAATATTATCAACTGGTTTAAAAATTGGAAAATAGTGCAAACATGTAGACGTTAATGAATACAGTCCAGTTAAAAACTAGACGGACAACGTAACACTATAATGTTCTATGATGAGTGTCAGAACATTATTGACGTATCGTTTGGATATACAGTTAATCAGTTCTACTTACTGCAAGGTGTATCCGTATTGACCTTCATAAAACCTTTGCCACACGAACCTACAAACAGATGTGCATGGTAAAATAAGTATGTACAGGGTGGTCCAAAAAAAAGTGAACCCCTGCAACAGGCTATATTTTTCTTAATACATGCATGAATTGGCTCATATTATCACATGTTGTAGAGAAAGGTCTAAAATTTTGGTTGATGCCATAATTTATTCTCAGTCTTAAATTTTGAAGAAATTACAAGCGTTTAACAAACATGCCTGGAAATAAGATTTTGTACAAAATTTTACAAATGTGATTCAAGGAAATTGTTGAAACACATTAGATGATCTTAAACAGCTTTCAGTTAGAGATACAAATTTAAAACCCTACCATATGACAAAAGGGACACTGTTCAAGCAGAAAACACATTTCACACTTTCATTGATCATTTTGAAGCATTTTTAACTGTTCAACAGTTTCAGGGGTATGTTACCTACACCAACAGTTAGAGGGGGCCTCTTATGGAAGGGAGTTGCCCCCTGTGACCAGGAATCTGATAACCCCTTTATCAAATATCTTTAAAAAATCAAAAGAAAATCCAATATCCAATGTTTTGAGCCATAAATCATTAGAATTGGTCCATGATTTATGAAGATATTGACATTTCAAGATCATATAGGGGTATGTTCATGATTTCACTGGAAAATGTTTTCGTCTGTGGAAGCTTAGCACATCTCTTTGGATCACAATAACTTTGCAACTAACAAATGTAGGATGCTAGTTTTAAGCCATAATGTGCAGAATTTAAAATTGAACAAAGTCAGAAAATATTTGTTCTTTTAGACTGCAGCTTAAAAAATTCTCAGGGGGAAAGGTGTTAAAGGGTTGAAGAATCGCGGATATTGAAAATCACAATTTGTCCATTTTCAGTAATGTTTGGTTAGGGCTTATAATTTCTGCAAATTTCAGGACTAAGAAAAATGTATGGCCCCAACATAAATTTTATACCTTCCTCTACAACATGTGAAAATAAAAAAGAATTCCTGCAAGTAATAAGGGAAATATGGCCAGTTGCAGGGGTTCACTTTTTTTTGGACCACCCTGTATTTAAATCAAAGACATATACAAGATGACAAAGTAAAATTGTTTTTTAGATCGCCAACTTTTTAAAAGTGATTAGATATGGTAAATAGACCCAGAAACAAGTTCACCAACTTGACGGGACTACTGTATATTCACGTTTTTATTTTTTGTTTGATATAGTATGTTCTACTGTATGTCTCACCCTCGTATTGACATCCAATGATACCAGCGCGCATTGATATGTGGCTGTTCCATTGCATCGGGTGGAAGCGGATGTAGCGAGCGGTAAACGGCTTGTTCAAGTAGTGCACACGTGCTGTGTCTTTATCTGCATTTCCGCCAAATTCCTACAATTTTAACATGCAGCATTTCAATGCAAGATCCCAAAGAACTTTTTATCTGGTGAATCCGTGCATTCATTGTTGATATTCATGCATTGTTTGGCATTTTTATACTGAATTAATTCAGTTTTGCACATGCAAGTTTGCAAAAGCATCATATCATCATGCGGGCATAACAGTCGGATGCACAGCCCCAGATGGAAATGGCGAATCTTCATTCATTTCAATGAGCCATATCCTAATTCGGCATGCTTTCCCGGGGCTGTCCATAAGACTTAGGAGTTCAGTTTCAGTTTTGCATCAACATACATATGCTTCAAGATAAATATTTTTAAGATACAAAGCAAACGTAGTTACTACTTTACATACTTTAGTATTGCAATATATCAGTTAGTAGTTGTCATACAGAAAGAAATAACAAACGTCTGGCGCAGGCACGTCATGTTGCAGATATACATCAGAGCATATTACTTCTTGTCAAGCCTTATATGTTAATTGTCACAGTGTCAAACGCAGTCAAAGATTTCAGAAAATAAGAATACAGAACAATCAAAACACTGAACATTGCAGCAAGTAGAACAAAGTGTATTTGTTTCGAACATTAACTAATTTGGGGATTTGATCGTTAATCCCATCTATTATGATTATCAAATGACCCCCATAGACGTACGTATTTATTGGCATGCAAAATTGTTTATGCCAAATGCATAATAATGTCTATAAAATTGATAAACGATGTAATCTTAAAATGTACAAAAACCACAACAAATCGTATTAACCAATAAAACCGTTCATGCCCAGTTCAATGTTCAGTGTTTTTGGATCCTTAATTAGTAGCCAGCCTCCTTACCAATCCCTCTGGAGTATTTTTATCAGGAAGAAGCACATATGCAGAGTTATTGTTGCCAGTCCAGTAATGATTCTGTAACCATAGAACATTGGTTTATACATAGTAAAGTACAGTGGCGTGATAGAGATGGCGTTCCCTCTAAAAATACCTCCCAAGACTTGATGCAAGACTTATGCTTTTTGTATACGATCACTGTCATAATATGTGATTTTGAATGGAGGAATAGAAGGTTAATTTCAAAAGGAACTGTATCTCTTTCACAATGCAAGCAATATACAAGTATTTTGAAGTTAGTCTAAGTATATTCTTAAAAGTACGCTTATCATTAAAGGCAGAAGTTTACTATATTCTTATACAAGTACATATAAAAGGAATATAAGCTCTTTTGATGCTATCATTTGTTCATATTTTGAAACCAGTAGCTTTAACGTCCTCACGTTCCTACAGAAAGTATCATGGTCGAATGATCATTGTAAGAATGATATGCATCATAATACAGAATAATGCACGCATCTATATTTATCTATAATAGTAAATACTTAAAACTATAAAGAGGTAAAATAGATGGCATTGGCAACAATCAAGCTATCTACAGTACAGTACATAACTAACCTGACACTGTGATGTCCGTGTGCAACATGGATGTGTCAAATCTTATTGCACATATTATCCAACTATCCGGTTAGTTTCAAACACGAATATACTGTAGTATTGAATATAAGCTTTACTAATAGCAATACATTTGAATATTCCTACCTTTGGGTTGAGTCTGTTGTCATCCTTGTAAAAGAACCAAACTCTGCTGTCGTTGCTATAGGAGAGACGGAACTTGGTGACCCAATGTTTCCTATTTGTGTCACCTCTTCCTTTCGTTGTGACTCCTGTTACAAGTGTTGGAGGTCCAACGTCAAACTGCAACCACTGGTTTTCTAAATAAAATTTTCATATGTAGGTCTTTGTATATATGACGTACCAGGATGCTTAAATACTAGCAAGCGATATAGTGTTTCTCAAAGTTAAATGCCTCAAATTAGTTTTTATATAAACTTTGTTTATACTGTAGATTTTAAAAAGTTTATAATGTTGTTAGGTTTTGCAATTACAATAAAACAAGAGAAAGATTTGTACGTGTGTTAGACATTAAGACAATGATGAACATACAAACAAACAGAGAACGATCACTAACAGTTGTAAACAGGTTAATATTAAAACAGACATTACTATATTCTAATATAGAATGGGTAATGATGAGAATGAGTTATGTAAACTAGGAAGCAGATCAAATCAAATCAAATCCAATCAAACAGTTTGTATGATCAGAAATTTATTAGTGTGCAAATTGTGAAGCTAAATTGTGAACTTCAAACCAAGACAGGTGAATACAACCCCCAATACATAAATATTAACTATGGCTTATCCGCTCTATTGATAGGCTAAAGAATAAGAATACTGACATATAAAGCACTGATTTGTTTTGAATTCTGAAGTGATAGTAAAACAGTGTTGAAACAGAGCTCGTCCCATAATCCCATTTAATCTTTTCAATTTTGTCATATGCTAAACGGTGACCGATGTTTCACCTATCTGTATTGACATTTTTGTAATTTTATTTACTGTATCTTGATGATTTCTTTACTTCGTGACAAATAATGCATTGATATTGGTCAGGTGCGACAGGTGTTTAGGAGGGTCCCTAAATACCAGGCAGGGGCTGTAAACTAATATATATTCAGAAGGTTACCCGGATTACTCGGAATTTATTACAAATGGTAAAGATATTTGATCAATGTGCTTTGAAGGATTTTCTACTTCTTTGAAATAGATGAAATAAAGGAAATGAAGTCAAATAAACACACATAAAGTTGATTCTTTATTGACTTGGCTAATTAAGTCGTTGAAATATATGCCTACCAGTGGTTGTAAATTGCATCCCGTGTCGAAATATCGTAGATCTCGCTTGAAATGAACGAGATCTCGCTACAATATGACAGAAGAACATATCTAATCAGATTTAGAAGTAAAAGACGTGCAGGTAATTATATTATCACATGCCAACGTAGCTCATCCCAAGGCAATGGCTAGCAAAGGGCTTATACTGGTAAAGCGTGGTATACCACAGATGGGGATACAAAAGGGAAGGTTACCAGGGAGACCCATTTACAGTTCCTTCACCCAGCAATGGGACCAAAATTACCCGGTGGTATAGCCATTACTAGGGACCCAATTCTGAACCATATCATGCATTTTCTGAAAAGGACTAGTGTCCACACTCCATAGTACAGATATAAAGTGCGATTCTTAATTCCTCTAGAATAGCCTTACTTAAGGATAGAAACACAAAGTTAGAGATATACCTAACTCTAACCACAAAAGTCTAACGTATAGAAGTATATTAGTGTGTTAATGGAAGTCCACTTATTATCTAACAGCATTTTCATCACTTACCATTTGCTGCCAACGTGCAAAAGCAAGCATATATGCATTAGAATAATATGTTAAAATATATTCCGAGCAACCGAAAACTATCATGCATCTAAATATATAATACTTGAATTTCTAAGACATACATAAACGTTTGTGTATCAATATCATTGATTTACATTTCAAAATGTGCATAGATATCATTCTAGGTCTAGTGTATGTGCATATCTAGTAGACTACCTCTAACGTAATCAAGACAAGCATTTACTAGCAAAAGTATCTTTAAAGATAATTAACAATACTAAAGTGTGGGAGTTTCAAATATTGTGAGAAATGTTTGCAAATTGAGTATTTGAGACTAAACTGTTCAGAAATCTGAATTGAGATCAACATGCTACAAAAGCAGTTATATGTGCAATTGTGAGGTATAATTTGAATTTGCATGAACTTACCATTATTATGCTTTGCACACCATGCTTTGCTGCTCATAATATAGCCGTCCTCTGGCTGACAGGAGCTCCCTTTCTTGAAGGACCAACTACTGGATGCGGATATTTTGGCATAAGGGGGCAACGCGATCTCTTCTTTACACACTACAAGGCATAATGTAGAATAGTGTGACATGTTGGAATATGACTTTAGAACCATATTCCCTCTAAAACAATTTAAAGTCAAGCAATTGGCCGACACATCTGTTTGTTGATTTATAATCAAAAGACAAGATAGACGAGGAAATTTGTGACATTTGTGATTTTATAATACCTTTATAAAGAAAACGAGCGCCACTGAATATGAACAACGACTATCCAAATATATCATAGAAATATGCCAGTCTCTTCTATGCTCTATCAAATCAAAACATCATTATTTGAGATCATGGAATATCTTTATTTTCATTATTTAACAATTGAGCCTAAAGGCGACGTACCATCCCATTCACCATTGAATCTAATTAATCAATCGATTCTATACTTCAAATTATGCCAATGGGTTTAGAGACAATTTCAAGGTGAGTACGTCAAGGATGGTCTTTGAGCGTGTGGTTATCATTTTGTTTTTAATATCTGGAAAACATTTGGTGTTCACCCTTTTGCCCTATCGGGACAGTTTTTGATTAATTACGGTTGCTAGATTGAATCTTTGATAGTTGTATCTTTGGGCATATAAGGGAACAATATTTACTGATGTTAGCCACCATTAAATATGAAATTATAGCTTGTTTATAGGTGGTCTTTCTTTCACAAAATTGTCACATTACTATGAGATATTCAGCTTTGGCCAAGTAGTTCTAAATACATTCGCAGATATGGAACTAATAACCACACAAACCTGTGTCATATTTTATTTAGTATATGGTCAGAATATCAGCATGATATGACCAGTATGTATATACATAGTTTAATTCAATTTGATTGGTATATGATGCATATGATGATATATTTTGTCTATTTGTGTGGGGTATTTTTGATTTGGCGATGTAACAATCTATCTTGCAATATATGGGAAACGGTTTTTGCCCTTGGAGACATTTGATCCTTCAGTTGCATTTCAACAAATAATTTTATGAGGAGGGAGGGATGTTTAAATACACTATTTAATATATTTAACTGATTTGAATTTCCCTGTTAATGACATTAAAATAGTGGTACTAGTGATCTTTGCTACTTCAAATATTGTTCCATTGTGCGTTTTGATTAAATCTATAGATTTTAATGCAAGTTACAAAATAGCAAATAACTTACACTGGCATCCAACAACTTCAACCCTCATACTGGGATGCTTATTCCAATGGACGGTGTGGAACTTGATGAATCGTGCTGAAATAGGTTTGTGCAGATACGAGTGTTTTACTGAGTAGGAATCCACGTTGCCTTCAAACACCTGCAACAATCAAAACAAAAACCCATTAGTTGTTTATCATAATTCGCAATTATTATAGCCAACATACCAGCAATTTACAATAATTAATAGAAAATGATAATGAGACGAATGCAGTGGGATACAGAGTTAAAGGGATATATCTATTTGATGTGACAACAGGTACTTTACTGTGATATCACATGACCTTACAATAATCATCCAACCAATATGATGACGTAAAAACGTGTTGAGCAGATGTGTTTTAGCATATTTTAAAACGATACAAATATGTCAGGTAAGTGGTGTCAGTTAATGTCATAAATGATGCTCAGTTCCCATGATTTGAACTCGCGAAATGGTACAAAAACAGAAAGATCACATTCAAGCTGAACATGAAGATAAAAAAAATATATAATGAAGGCATAATAACTCATGCTTAAGTGTTAATATAGCTAGAGGAGGAAACTGATGAACTGCTATCCGCATTTCACATTTAGTTGACGAATGACATAAAACACTCGATCTTTTTGTCCTACCAACTTTTTTTCAGTGACTATGATATCGTTTTCAGCGTTTTGTCTGTGTATACTACCGTGAAAGATTAATACAATCTGTCTTCCTTAAGGTGGAAGGTTGTTCACACACCACTAGATTAATTCAATTATATACATTAGACATTTAGGTTTCAGTAGATTTTGAAAATTCAATAAACACGTTAAGCGTTTGTTTTTAAGGGGATGTACACGGAAACTTTTGAATTTCGTTAATGTCGAGAACACAATCTGGTTTGATGGTCCTGTTAATTTAGAAAATGATAAAACATTAAAAAATTGAAAAAGCATCAAAGCACTGCCAGGTACTGTGAGTTAGTAGGGTCACTTGTGTGTCAACTCCACATTCATATCTAACGACCTTATACATTTCGAAATATTCTTACTAGTTCCATTCACATAAAACTGTAATTTTATTGGTAGTAAATATTCCTGGTGTTTACATCATTCTTTTCTAATTTAACACATCTAGGTATTGGAATTCAATAGAAGGAGCCATGCTTGTACGATTGATATCTTTTTCATCTGAATGAAATTCAAATGAAGGTCAACGACAACTTGGTATAATAATGTTTGATTTTATGAATGACATTTATCTTATGGTATCCAACCATTTCAGATTTAGAACACGTAAATGTATAGGATTAAACAATGTGTAGTACGTTATTAAACCATCTCAACTACTACAAAAGATGAGTGACAAGTCGTTGAAGTGAACTAATAAATTAAGGTGTATTAAATAAAGCCATATTGTTGCAAAAACAACTTCATTAATCAAATCTGTTTCTTTTAACATAGCATAAGTCATGTCAAAGCAAATATATACTGGCGCTTCTTGTTTGATTCTCTGGCGCAAGGTTAAAGATAAGTGGTCTGCAAAATCGAATCATTCCGCCAAATAATCCCGTTGTTTAGAGGCGTCAAAAATGACGAATACTTGCTTGACATGAATAAAGATAGAAAATACATCTTTTGTAATATTCATGTTAAGTTGGTGTGAATTTACCGATTAGTAGAGGAAGCTTCTGAGGACGTCGTGTTAATTTAGTTCCGAACAAATGCAGCATTATGCATTGAGTTTGTCCCCTTTGACTCATCGGACACTGTCTCCACCAGGCACTACTTTCTTCATCGCCCCTCTTTAGGAAATCGATACCGAAAACTCATTACCATTTAAAAGATATCGGTAAGTAATAATTCGTAAATGTGATTTTAAATGTCCGATAAGATTGTAAAATACACCTCTTTGACTCTATTAAAAGTAAATCCATCTTGTCATAAGGAATTTACTATCTTAACAAACGTTGCCTTAGATATGTATGGCCTTTTGAACGCTGACAACATGGGTAACATTTTTCATTTCAAATTGTTCACAATTCAAAGTAATAACGTCTAGTGTTTCTAGTACACTAAAAAGAAATGTTATCCTCAACACACAAACATGCTCTTCCCATAACTGGAATTGATCAATGTTCATACTTATCCTACAGTACTTCTTTTGACATTTAAATGTGATAATAAATGTACTGGTATTTTTGTACAAATTAGAGTAATCCCCACATACACCCCGCTGATATTCAATATTTTCCATTTTATTTTCATTTTTGTTAACATTACCATCGTGACCTTTACGCAAGGGAAAACATTCTAGAGTTAATATCCAAATTGAATAGATTAAGTACCCCCGAGACGACTTATTAGATTTCATCGAAATTTATCTAATATTGGCTATCAAAATGAAATGCATAATTTCATTTGGCCTCGATTGGTTGTTTTCAATCAAGACTGATGGGGTACCAATGATCTCCCTCTACTCCCTCTGATCAGTTCTTTCAATAGAAGGATTAGCTGGAATTAATAGCCAGTCAGTTTGGAAAAGTATTAGCTACAATTGGTTGCTTTCTAACTCAATTGCTATTGAACTATCATTCCTAAATTCAATGTCTGGGATAAGTTTTGACGTATGTAGAATCTACCGAATACGATTCATTCTAGTACAAAAATGTGCTTCTAAATTCACCACTCCTGTTGAAATGATAATGCATGAAAAACGTTAAGAGCTCAGTTTCAATGTGCTAGAGAGGATTTTAATTCGTTAAGAGCTCGAATTCTTATTTGAAATTACCAGCTTTGCGTTGTTTATTTACGTCAACATGACCTCTGTTGCTACCTACCCTTTGATTGCCATATTGATCAGTGACGTATTGCCAGTGGAACGCATCCATACTATAGGAGACCATGAATGACGTCACCCATTCTATTCCGTCCCCTCGCCCCTGGGTCATCACCCCCGTCACCTGAAAATAGAACAGGTACGTGTGTATATGTTAATTGTTTGTCTATTCACTTCTTGGGCTTTCAAGAGAACAGAATGCAAACATATCTTTGCTTTCTAAATTGGTGGAAAATTGTTTCTTTTGCACATTTCAATAGACAAATATTTTGTTTTTCGTAAATAACTCAAAGATAAAGCCATCATGACATGGATATGCTGCTCACACAATACAAATGGAATTTCTCATAATTACGGCAACATAAAAGATTTTTGTCGCACGCAATCTGTTTTTGATGCTAGTTGTATAATGGAAACTATTTATATTTTCAATGTTAAAAAGGGTTATATAAAAACAGAACATTTTGACATGTGTATGAGTTCAATACTTAATAGGAAACCAAACACTAGAGATATCTTCCAAATACTAGTACCACACGTTTCTTAACAAAATGATAGTTTCGTCTGAACGTTAAGAGATCCTTTTGGTAAAATGCATAAGAGATCTGCATTGGTAAAAATCCGTATTTCAAATAATTTAAACTTGATACAAAAGCATTTAACTTTTGAGACAAATACAAGTAAGTTTTTTTAAACTTGCGGTTCATTGAATATGAATACGTAGTTAATGAATAAGTGCTAACTTTAAGTTAAACAATACAACGCTTCCTGTTTATTTAACTTCCATCGTGCTACTTGATGTCGATTTGATTACATATTCAAGTCTCGTGTTACTAAACTTGTTACAGATACTGAACTTCCTAAAATTGTTAAACAATGACTTTCGCTCACATGAATTACTTTTCCAATCAGAACTTTACGATCTGTTGGATTCAACAACATGTACAATATGTAATTCCATCTGGGATATGGGTCTCAATATATTTGGGTAATTCAAACCAGATAATGGAACCATTAGAGGTAGAAGTATCGGCAACATGGCGTTGAAAGAGTACGATTTTGCAATTTCTCAAAATGTCGTAAAACGTGTACTTATTGATATTGTAATATTGCAATATCCGATGGGTTGGTGCATTGTTATATGGTCAAAACATGGCACAGATGTTAAATGCGCTATATTTAAAATGGTCCATCCCAATCAAAATCAAGTACATCTTAAAACGGAATGAAGTGTTACAAACACATGCGAACAAAACATGACCCAGCAGAAAATGCAAAATGCCCAATGTTTCACAATTGAATATGTTAACTTAATGAGCTGCTACATCCACATGTGACCAAAACATGAGACATACGGAAAATGCTCTATTTTTAATTTATTAGAATTAAGTATCTCAAAATGTATAAAGTGTTAAAGACACATGCGCAACTAAAAACATGACACAGACTGAAAACGCACAATCTTCCACAATGGAATAATATAACGTAATTAGGTGTTACTTCCACATGTGAAAAACAGCAACACGGTACAGATGGTAGACCATCGTTCAATTAAGATCAATCAGTACAAACCAACATTTTCTGATGATCATCTTGATCCAGGTGATAAGTGAAATAACCAAAACATGCTCCCATCAAACCTGGGTAATGCGAGAGATCTCAAAAATCTATTCAATGTGTAAAATACATATAATACACCTGTGTACCGAGTAACCTTGCTTTTGACAACATGAACTCGGTTAAAATGGTTAACCAAACTGTGGTGTTGAATGAGCAATTATGGTAAAGTAAAACCCAATACCTGGGCTACAAAACTGTTGATTAACCTCTATAATTCGTTAATTATACTTTTAGAACCTATTTTAGAATTCCATCATCGAAAATACATGTCAATGGCATTGAGGTACATGTAAATAAATGAACGTCTAATATTGTATAGCCTACTTTGGGTAGTTTTGTGAATATGAGGATAAATATTAACTCATATCAAACGACCTATGGGCTGTCAATAGATGGCGTAGAATTCATTAGGTTATCTTGTATACATTAGTATTGCTTAAAAATCTGATAGATAGACAATAAATATCATATTTTTGTTAGTATATGACTGGTGTGGTGGATTTTAGGTTTTAACAGTCTAGCACATGGCCCCAAGAAAAACATGTGGCCAACAAGAAGATGGACAATGTAAACGAATGAATGAAGACATTTTTGCAGATATCAGCTGTAATCAATGTGATAGCATTCCGAGTGGAATCCAAGACTCCTCTATACATATGTCGGCCATCCACAATCATCACAATTAATTCAAGATATTTTATGTTCGCAATTAGAGTATATCCTATCGCCAAAAGGCGAACGTAACGCTAAATATAAAATGTTATAAGACTTGTTAAAACATATTTCCTACATACCTTTGCACCGACTCCCAAGTCAATCTGCAACCACTCTGATGAAGATTTATATTTTGCGCACCAACCATATTTGTTTGGCTGGTATAACCTGGCGTATTTTTCATGACATCCTTTATCCCATTCCTGAGGGTACGCCGACGATGCTGATATCTGCCAGTCCTGGATCGACCCTGATATCATCCCAAGGGGCTTGCTATGGGCACATTCTACAATGAAAAACATAAAGGGCATCAAAATCTCCATCTAACCCCAAAATGTAGAATTTAGCAATTAATGTGACCACCAGTCTTGCAAATATCAACAAATGGCACAGAAGGCAACATCAGAAAGTACAGTTAAGGTTAGCCGAGCTTTTTCGAAATTGCATTCCACCCGGCCTACCTTCTTAGCCACTGAAACATCTTACAAAATGTGGGTGGTATTGCAAAACGGACTCGTCATCAACTACATATATCACACCTCGTTCTTCGTTGACATTGGCAACATTTACACCATCTAAGCAAACAAACACACGATACAAGATGGTTGGAGTTACTGCAATGTGATGCCTCGTACAGATTCAATGAACTATTCCATCCACATGTCTGTACACCATGCGTCTTTCAAAACATTACTTGGGTCCCACCCTTCAAAGAGAAACCGTTATTGTCAGAGAGCTTAATATGCATGGAATTGATAAGGAGTGAGTACAAATTATTAGAACGTCCAAACTTAAGAGAGAATAAAATGTTGTGAAAATACGACCGCCATATTTATACTTTAGGGTGAAAATTAAAGCCCGAGTTAGACGCTAATGATGGGCCTTGTGTAAGGTCTGACTAACTCCGATGGGTCTAGCTTGGCTACAACTCTAATGATATCCCGATAATTGAGACCATCTTTGGACACCTTACTTCCATTAGGGAGGTCATTATCAAAGAGCTTTGATTTCAGGAGAATGATCCTTTACAGGTATTCGAGAGTAGAGAAGGCCGGATATGATACCGGGAAAACAATGTTCTCTCAATAACAATCTCGCTGGAAAACGTTGACCGGTGGTACCAACTTTGGAAAGGAATACTTACGGCACGAATAAACATAAGAAGGCAGAATGGGAGACTGTAAATGAAGACAGTCAGGTGAAAAATGTAAGAAATGCATAACCTCTGAACCTATTTTTTAATACCAGCATTTCCATCCACACATTCCAATCGTCGCATGGAATCCAGAATTCCACACCACCAAAAGGGATATATAATTGAACCAAAACAATAGCCTGATTGCAAAAATCTTGTAAACATACTTGGTAAAACGTCTAATTCAAGGTTATGTTTCATTTGAGAATCCGCGTGAAGAATGTGTATGTACCCAACACTTTGTATGAACCTCTATATGATAAACCATGCCGTCCCTGGATCCTTTATTTTAAAGTTTGAGTTGTCATAATATAGTCATTTAAAGTGATGAGCATCATATGGTAAGACATAAATGTAACAAATCAACATTGAACAAATTCGTTATTTTTCACGCAGAGCTTCGGTTGTTATAAGCTATACTTTGATACATCTACTGTCTTAGATATTTCACATCTAGTAATATAAAACATTATAAACCATTTGAAATGATTGCAGATTAAAATCATATTTCGTTTTTATATGTGAGGTCATCTATCTTATTTCGTTTGTACAAATATAAATGTATTATCATTGCAACATGAACGTCTCAATGACTGGCAGGCTATTTCAGCCAGGCGTTCAGATGGGTTATTCTTACAGTGATCACGTGGGGAAGGATCATTGGGTCATGTTTTCTCATCTGATATTTATAAATTAACGAACTTTAGGAAATGTGTTTTCTGAAAATAAAATCAATCTGTAGAACTCTGTGGAGCATATTCACTAAAACAGCCAATGGATTCGAGGGGTTTGGGATACAGATGGTAGGGAATTTGTGAGATTTGGACAACATAAGAACAGTGGATTGGAGGGTGATTGGGATTGTGGCAACACAAGGGGTAGGGAAATTGAGGGTCTGGGCAAGGTAGGAGATGGCTGACAAAGGCTGACAAAGGCTGGTAGAGATATGTGGGATTTGAGCAACAAGTCCCATGTTAGGGAGGATTGGTTGTGATTCTATTTCTAGAAAAGGCATGTTTTCAAAATGACCTTCCAATGAAGTAATTATAATACAATAGTTATATTCAAACTTGAATGTCAATCAAACGATGTTAACAATGACCTTGACATGGCGCTGGGTTTGACCTTTCTAGTTTTGCAGTCTATTCATCATCACACCCTTGACATAGATACCTTTAAATTTGTAATTAAAAGTGATTTATTTACATACATATTTGAGATCAAAGCTTACCACTGACTTATTTTGATGGATACATAATCTCCTCCTTAATATAAGAATGCGTTTTCGTGTAAAACTCATAAGATATGGAATGTGTATCTTGTGCATGTAATATCTCATCACAGTTATCCTCTACAAATATACCAAAATATATTTCTTTACAATGGCTTAACTAGTGTTATATATATAGATTGCCTTATCTACAAAATCTATCAATATTCGAAAGCGTAATATTCGGGTAATCCTAGGGGGATAAGGTAGACAAATATACTGATATTTAAGGTGCCGATAGGGGTGACTATGGTGTTACAACAAAACCATTGTTTGCCTGTGTATTTGGGAGTTGATCATAAAGTGTGTTAATGTTATCACAGAGCAACTTTGGATTACCCTCTGGTCACTAGGTTAATCCCACAACATTCACCACAAACACGATAAATATACACGTTTTACAATAGATTTATTTGAACATAATACTCCCACCCATGGAAATGTTCACCTTCAGGGTGCGTACTGTACCACAGTGACTGTCGAAACATTTTGCACCTCAGCGTCATTTTGTATCTGGTGGGTATATACTTTTGTATCTTTGAGCTAATCCAGGGTTTTCCTTCTTATTCTATTGCATCACAGATTCAGCAAGATGAGAAAACATTTCAAAGATCGACACCATAAATCAATTCAATAATTGCATACGGATCGATTTATCCACAATAAGCGAGTGTCAACTAGGATATCATTCATGATTGTATTACTTGATATCAGTGCACATTAAAGAGCGCTTGTAATTTATATTTGAGAAAGGTCCTATATATCACTTTGAAGCAAGAATCCATCATACTGTCAAAAGATCTTCCCATTACATCACTTTTCCATTTCAATTTGTTTATTAAAGAGAGAATTAAAAACCAAGCTCCTTAATGTGATAGGAAAGACAAATGATACTCCATCCAACCTCTCGAGATGTTACATCATGTAGCATTGAAGTAAATTGGAGACAACTAATTCATCTGATCGGGCTCATAAAATATTCGATTAACGATATCCAAAAGGATGATTAATCATAAAATACGACGTTTTAATCTAATGGGAATTGATATTCTTTAAGTTTGTTTTTGAAATTTGGTTCTGGGTCAGGATGATACTCAGACCATCACTTACTTACAAAGTTCTATCAAGGGAATGTTAGGAAGCCGTAATAGCTCACAATGGAACTGGATGTGATTGAGTAGATATCACGGAACCGATCTCTACTTCTCTAATACTCTATTATCCAAATAAGAACACACTACAGTTCATGTTGGTGAAGTATAATTTGGGAAAATACCTTGAGACCTACTGTCAGACTAGATTCAAAGTAAAAGCCATTCAGTAAGACCACATCAGAAAGACCGTACGCACGATGAATATGGCAGTAGTATTGACGATAACTTATCAAGATATCAAAAAATCTTGCATACATATGCCTACATTTTTATTTGTATAAAAATAGATATAGATATGGTGCTGGCCTGGCATCCATACCATGTCTACGGAAAGTGACAGTAGTACAATTACAGATGAATCCTTAGATCACAATAAAGACAATTAAAAAAATGATGAAATATAGAAAGTATAGCATATTTTAAAAACGTACATATGCATTGCAACGAATATATTTCAAAATAAAGCGGTCAGACATTTACACCAATTAAACTTTCAAATGTGCTCGCCATTGTACAGAGGTTAATTCGATAGCACCCTAATTTATCAGAGGTTCAGGGGGTCAACTTTCTCAAGGTGCAGAGATTCAAATATTTTATGTATTCCCTCCGAGGTGAGCCTTCGTTGTTATAACCCAACGATGAACATGTATCAACTTGGCGCAGAGACAGCCAATCTATAAGGCGTATCCACCTTGATGGAAAACAGACCCGATGAATTCATGTATAAGAACACAATTGATGGATTGCTCGGTGATTGCGACAACGGGTACCAGTCAACACCTGTGCGCCGGTAAACCCCAAGGAGGGTCCATCACATTTTCTATTAAATATCTGCATGAAATTCTCCTCCTTAATTTGATACTTCGCAAGAGAGAATAGCAAATCGTGACGATTTTCCTTTTTTAAAGACATAAGTATTTGCTTTGGGTTTAGTGTTTACTATCTAGATTTCCCACGCGTTTTATGTGTTTATCAACAATTGCCAACATCACCATTATAAGCTGAGTCTAAAATATAAACTGAATAAGATGAGTACATTTATGTTGTCCTGTTTATTGGCCAAGCGAAGGTGTTACTATGCTAAAGGCTAATAATCTGTCAATCTACATGAGTCCAGAAAACAAGAATCTGACACTTCAGATCCCGCTTTTTATAGTACCAACTTTACCAAAAACGGTAAACACATTTCAGACCTTCGTTTCAATGATCGGGCGCAAGTTGTTATGGTCGGCACGTGTTTGCCTGTGACATGCTCTGAAAGAACCATTGGTTGAAAGATGTGTGAAAGAACCCGTGGTTGAAAGATGTGCTGAAAGAAACCGTGTTTGAAAGTTGTATCGAAAGAACCCTTGTTTTAAAAATATACTGAAGGAACCAGTAATTGAAGATGGGTCCGTAGTCTATGATGTAAAAGTCACAATGAAAAACATATCCGATTGTAACAACAGCATGTAAAAAAAAGTAACGATTCGAAACCGAAGATGAGTCTACCAATCGAGAAAAGCCTTTGTGATCTAAAATACTAATGCCGAAGTTAATGATGAAATGTAAAAGGTAACGATCCAGAAAAACCTCCTGTTTCTCACATGGAAAAGATGATTGACAGCTGGTGAACAGCGAAGCCCTGGATCCTATGCTGCGTAGAGATGCCGAAACGATATTGGACG